GCTGGGATCCTATCCGCCACTCGCCCCTGCAAGTCCCGCTGCGTGGTTCAAGGTGTCTGTTGCATCGAGGCTGTATGAGGGCCTCTTCTATGCCTGTGCTTGTGATGCTTCCGTTCCCGGCCTGGAAGGTTCCTGCTGTGGTCGGTGCTGCCCGGCCTGGCTGCCTTTTGCCCTCGGCCGCTCCGCTCGGTTTCGGTCGTGGTGGCCTTCGTGTCATGGCAGAAGACAGCTCCCGGTATCTCGCGGTTCTTAGGACCTATCGGGTTTCTGGTTTCACGCCGTGAGGCCTCCCACCTCATCTTGTTTGTGTCAGCTGCAAGCTGGATGCAAGGCTTCAGGAGCTGCATTCGCTTTGCAACGGACGTCGATCCCGGTTACTGGTTAGCTACTGTAGTTCAAAGTTCCAGTTTTGGCTGAGGCATTGCCGTGGCTGCTTCATCTGCAGTTCCTGGTGCTGGGGTTGGACCTGCTGTGCCCTCTGACATACAGACTCTCTGCTCGTGTTGGTATTCGTAGCACCCACATGAGCTTACGTACAAAATCTGCTTGAAGAGATTTCGTGCACGGGGATTGGACACAGAACACGACAGGAGTCCCGGGTAGAAGTTTGGAGTCAAGCACCGGGAGATTTTGAGCCTCCTGGGGATCATCTCAGGAAGTGGCACTTCCATTCCTGGCGACGTCGTCGTTGCGGCCTTCTTCGGATTGATGACTGGGCTTTTCTTGTCCTTGTCGGCCCGCTTCATACTGTGCCTGCAGCTGAAGCTATGGCAGTCGGGTGGTTGGGAGATCGCCACTACGTAGCTGTCAGCTGCCGTGCGTAGGCTGAACCTGTCAGCTCGCATGCATCAAGGCCCGTTCCTCACTGGGCCACGAAGATGCTCTGTCTGATTACCTTTGCTATGGCTTTTGGTCTGGCGTTCCTCGGCGTGTCAGGCGAGCAATCACAAGGCAGATTCAGGCTGGAATGCAGCCGAGGCTCTGGATCTTCCCGTACAGCTACGACCGGCCCAAGCGCATCGTCTACCAGTGCCGTGGCCCAGTGGCCCAGTGCTTGCAAGGCTTTGGATTTTTCTTGACACCGGTGGATGATACCTCAGACCTCAGGCACACCGCACGATCCAAAGCCACCTGGACTTTGGAGGCCATTGGATTCATTGACCCGGTTTAGTAAGTGTTTAGTATCGGCTTTGAGCAGCAGAGGCAGCAGTGATCCCCAGAAGGGACGAGGGTTGCTCTGCGTTGAGTCTGCAAGGTCTGAGCCTATGTCTGTGCAATCGAGCTAAAACTCGTGTTCACTTAGATGGGGCAGGGAGGGCACGGCACTTGGGTGCCTGCTTCATGCCTTTGCAGGCTCCGAAGCCCACGGCCCAAAACTGCAGAAAGAGACTGCGTTGCGGAGGCAAACGGGACGGCCACCGCGCACTGGGAGCCGATGGAGAGCGGCATCTTCACTGCTTCTTGACTTGTCCCCAGGGTTGCCCCAGCAGGGTAATAATTAGCCTTGGCCATGGACCTGCGCTGGCACAGCCAGATCTGGCAGAAGACATGCGAAGATACCGGACCGGGGTGGTACGGCGTGTGCAGCCAGGTTGCCCAGGACTGGAACTCCCTGGACACCATGCGAAAGTTCGCGCCGTACGGCCTGCCGAATGGCTCGGAACCTCACGACAATAGCATTGGGAGCCTTGGCTGCAGACCTAGACAGCAGCCCCTCGCGATGTTTCTGGTCTCCACCGCAACAGGGCAAGACTTGCGCAGAATGCGAGGCTCTACGGCCAAGTTCCGCTGCCCTTCCCCATGAAGTGGCTTCTGACGGGCGGTGCTTGGGCAAAGAGATCCGCTCCGGAGGTTCCTGTCGGGATTGACGTGCCTTGTCTGAGACAAGCCAAGCAAGGATTAGTCAAGTGAAGTCCCTTCCTACTTGCTTCCTTATGCCTTTGATTTAGTGTGTCGGTCTGCTGGCGGTTCGATGCGGAATGCATGTCAGTCTCTGCAAGGTGCAGCTGGCATCTTTTCCAGTGGCCGTTGCAGGACCGCAACATCCGTCTTACTGTTAAGAGATTGAGGGTGGCAAGGTTTAGATTAGCCATGATCAGGCCTTCCTTCATCTTCCCAACTTCAGATGCTCTACTTTGGAGGTGAGGATCTGCGGAAGGCGCACATCTCCGTGCGAGGCCCACCCAACATGATGCTGGTGCTCTCGCCCCGGCTGCTTGGGCTCCGATAATTTTGCTGTAGCAGCAGCTCGTGTCGGGTGGACCAGTGGAAGTGCAACATGAAAAATGAGACCGGAACAGGGTTTTTGAGCGGCAGTGACGGTGAGGTCGGCCATCCGACGATGGTCTTTCGGACGATTCGCTTCCATGGCAGATGTGGCTGACTCGACACATGCTGCCGCTGGATTGTGATTGGCAGTACCTTCGCCGAGAGGCCACCATGCTAGTAGCTAGCAGTTTGCCACTGCATGTCTTTACGGACATGTCATGTGGGTGGGTTTCGCAGACACTAGCTTGTTACCCTGCTCAAGCGTACCGAGGTCGACGTGGACCACTTGTCCGAACAGCTGCCGCCCAAGCGCATGGACTGCGACTGCTTGTTCCTGCTGCCTGCCGGCATCGGCTCGCAGAGCACGACCCAGATTGTGTCGCATCGTGTGGTGACGAAAGCCGGCTGGAGCTGCAATTTCAAGAGGCCAGGACATTGTTCGAGTAGGCCGAGCCCATGCGAGGCTCTTTGCCGAGGGGGGCGTGAACCCAAGCCGGGGCAGAGAAGAAGCCTTCAACTTCACGTTCCGCGGCATCAGAGGGCGTCTGTTGTAACAGATTTGCACACCGCGCTTCGGTCCTGTCTTTCACATCCGGACGTTAGGTAACGCGGACGCACCTACAGAGGTTTGCTTCGGTTAGAAAGAAACCTAACCTTGAGCAGTTTGCATCCCAGGCTGCTAGCGCCTGCGGGGGAGCTGGACATGGACATATGGGGGCTCCATCTTGAGACGTCTAGTCCAGAGCTGCAGTACGAGAAGGACGGACAGTGTAAAAATTGGGGGCAACCTACAGTCTGAGTTGGATATTTGAGCTCGAAGTAGTGTGTTGTGAGGAGCGGACCCCAAGCTGGGTGAACTTCTACGGCTGGACGTCGGAGTTGCAGGTGCTAATACAGCCATGGACCGTGGTAGCCTGGGACATGGATGATTGGAGGGAGTAGACGAGACCAGACCAAACCTTTGCCATGGCTTATCAGAATAATGTGTGTCCACCAACAAGCTGACAAGAGAACAGGATTGGATTTGTGGCAATATGAAGAGTGACTGCAACGCGTTTTCCCTGCACTCGATTGGCGAAGCTTTCTTCCACGAGCAAGCCCAAATCGAGAAATGCTTCGGCCCGTGCTGCGGGGTTTGAAGTTTTGCTCCACTTCGTTGCTCTGCCGCCCGCTGCGCCTAACCTTTCCATCAACGCCCGGTCCTTCTGCCGCGAAGCCTAAGACCCTGAAAGTAAGAGAGATCTGCATGTCTGCTGTGCCGCTCGCAGCTGACAGGTGCACCGGTGCCCTGGCAAAATAGGGCCTCCGAGGACTTACGCACAAGTTTGCAGCGGCAGAGGGCAAAGCAGGGACGGAGCTGTAGACCGGAATGGTTTTGCGAGCATGCTTTGCATCCTCGACAGAATGCTGAGGATGACGCTGTGAAGCGGACGGGAAAGCCGAAGCCGCGCAGAAAATGGCCGCGGCATGCAAAATGGCATTCGAAGCCTGGCCTGGCCCGCGCTGGCCGTGCTGCCCCTGCCCTGCAGGCGCATGCCAAGATCTGACGGGAGCTACGCCGAAGCCCTATCGACGTATCAATGTAGGTGTAAGAAGCGCCGGGTGCACGATGGGCATTGATGCACATTTCATCTATGCCATCTGTGTGCTCTGTTTTGGTCCGAGAAGGCGTGGCAGCAAGCAAGCAGCCTCGTGCTGGTCTACTTTGCATTCTGCTGTTCATCCGAGGTACGTACTTACCACCAGTGAGCCGGGAGTGTTGTACGACATGATGGACAATCCGCTGAAGACTTCTCAGTTTTGGATTGAACTTAGCTTTAGCAATGTACTCCAACGAGAAGCGCCGTTCTGCTGGTGCCCAGGCCCATGTTGGATTCTAACATCACCGGGCCTGGCAGTTGGAGGTTGGAGGGAATCTCTCGAGTCCAGACTTAGGGCAGCGCGCGAAAGGTCTGGAGACTTGTCCTCATTCCCCTTCTGGCAGGTTCGATGTAGACGAGAACGTGACGCGTGCTCCAGAGGCCATCATCAGCAGTGGAAGCCCATAAATTGTCAAACGCTCGCCCCGAAAGAACTGTGTTGCTCAACGGCAGAGTCTGCTGCCCTGGCAGAGCTTGCGGATTGAATGTCGAACGCCGTGCCAAATTGGCCCAGATCCTACGGGCGACCCACATGGTTGCGATCAACTCATCAACTCCTGCCTCTCAGTCTGCACATTGCAGCCCAGTGCTGTTGCTGCAGTTGCTGCACAAGTCCCCGGCTCCTCACATAGCGGCGCATGTGCAAACTCCACGAAGGAAACTCTGGTCACGGGCTTTCTGTACTTCACGCAGCGAGTTTATCAGAACGGCTCTGCTGGGCCCTCAGGGATGCTTTAGCTGAGCCGCTTGATTTGGGGAGTCTTGCTAAGATGTGAGATGTATGGGTTTGCTTGGCACTTCAGGAGCTTTGATTTTCAGCAATCTCGGTGTCCTCTGCACTCGCTTGTGCTGGTCTCGTGTGAAGACTTCCCGGATGCTAAGCTCCCCGGCACGACGCTGATGCGAGAAGATCTGAAAGTCTGGGCTTCTCAGCTGCACATAGCTGGACCAAGTCTGCGACCAGATAGTGCTTCCAGCAGTGGCTCGGGATCTGTGCAAGGGCACATCAGTGTCACCTCCACAGCTGGTCTAAGCCTCTGAGAGATGTGCTTTTCTGGCCAGGATTGTGGCACGAGCTTCGACTGCGACAACATGCAGGCCGCGCTTTGTAAGTACAAGAGCTGCAGAAGGTAACTTGCGTGCAGGGATGCTTTTTGGATCAGCAACTGTAGAAGCAGTTTCAATATGTGCCCCTGTTTGGGCTTTCAAGAAATCGTACGTCGTAGGTCGTAGGCTCTTTTTCAGCGACCCATCAGTGCCCCAAAATGACACGAGCCGGGCTTCGACCACCACCGCCCTCGGCTTTGCAGCTCATGAACGAAAGCAGCGACGCCGTTCTGAGCGTCTACGTGGAGCCCTGGCTCCTGCCTCGGCCATCCCTGCGCTGGATCGCGTGCGCGTGTCCTGCGTCCTAAAGCGGTGCTTGCGCCAAGGGATGCCAGCAGCTTCGTCTTGCTTCCGGGCCTTGTGGAGTTTCGAGTTCTTCTCCCCGACGATCTGCCCCGCAGACTCAAGGCAGCGAGGACCTGCCAGGAATGCATTGCAGGGACATGGCATGAAGAGGGTTGAAATCCGCTGGAATCGGCAGTGTTGAGCTCGTCGAAGCACGCGGATGCAGACACAGCCAGACTTGAGCATGTAGGTCGTCGTGCCACCGTACAGCTTCATGGGCGCAGACAGCCGACCAGGCTCGGGTAGCTGTCCTTGCAGAGAGGCTGTCGGATGACGGTTCCAAAAGCTTCCGCTGTCACAGGCAGCTTGGCAGGGCCCCTTGCCCAGTACGAGCTGGAAATCGACACCGGCGAGGATCCCACAGTCGATATCGCGAGGCGGGAGCGGGGCAGCGCAGTGCGAGGCATCGATGCACACCTTGACATCAAGTCCCTACGTCCGGCCATCGTAGCCATCCTTTAGCCTTATGACTGACTCTAAGGCCAAGGGTGCTCCCTGATGGCTGCTTCCCAGCGCCAGGGGCGCAGCCACTCGGCCAAAAGCCTGTTCTGTTTGTCAGGAAGTTCCCACTGATAGAGCCGTGCCCGAGGTATGTGGCCGCCGACACGTCGATCACGATGTACTTCAGTGAGGAGGCACTGAGGGCGTCCTCAGCCATGCTCAGTCTGCCTTCTGTCGAGCTGGGGTGCAACTGTTTCACCAGCAGTTTGCCGGTTGTGCATGTTCTGAGTGAATACAATCGGTTCGTTTTTGCTGCATGCAGGTCGTCGTGGGAACGGGCAGCCTTCTTTTTTGCGATGCGACGCGCTCACACGAGGCAGGGAGTGAGCTCCCCGAAGTCCGAAGCCTCGAGATCCTGGCTCCCTAAGGCAACATGGGCAACAAACATTGAAGAGAGTCGAAGTATTCCGAGCCTCGAGGATCCCGAGCGCTGCTCTTTGGCAACCTTCGCGGACGGTTCCGCCGCATCGCTGGACGTGCGCCGTTTCGCCGATGTCCGGCGCAGGCAGGGTTCAGGGGGGCGTCCATGATATCAATTTTCAAAGGAATGGGAACGGGCCGAGACTTGGAGAGGATTGCATGGCCGCTCGTGATCTAAGGATCGTCACCTGGCGGCTGCCGCAGGTTCACCGCAGAGCTTGTTTGAGTGCTGACTGGCTCGGACGAAGCACCATGAAGCCGGATACGTGCAGAGCAGTAGGCTGCGGCAGACCCGGGACATTGTAGTGACGTGGTAGTCGTAATGAGTCCTTTGCAAGCATGCGTTGCATGCAACCACACTGCATCAGCACCTCTGTTCTCAACGATGCAGAAAGTTTTGCACCAGGTCCTTGCCTTCGGCCAGAGAATTCGCCTGGTGATGCCAGCGACTGGTGCTGCAGATGTTCAATTCGACGATGAGGGTTTCGGCCAGAGCCAGACAAGCCAGACCGAGCGTTGGACAGGATTCTCCAATCCATGATTGTGGCTGCAAGTGGCGTCATGCGTTTCAAGCTAACACGAAATTAGCTGAAAGAAGCGACACCACTCGAAGCAGGCCACGTAAGCAACGCGAACGAAGTCTTACAAGGATGCTGTCTTTCGCCCGAGGAGGGCCTTTTCGTTGCGGAGGGCCGGCCGGTGGCGGCCGCGGCCTACCATGGTGGGAGCGCCTCATCTGCACAGGCTGGTTCCGGGAATCCGGAGCAGCTCCAGGACTGCAGAATGGCTTCCGAGCGATGAAAGTGGAACGTAATGGAGGAGGTATGGATGTGAAGGTCAGGAGCAGTAAGCATGTTCCTGCTATTGCTGTCATTCTGATCATTTCACATAGTCATTTTAGTCTTCGTTAGTTCTGTTGGCCTCTTTGTTCCTTCGTAAGGATTCCTATCATGAATGCTGCTATGAGCGTGATCCGCACTGTTTCTTGAGTGTTTCGTTCGAGGCTTCTCCATCCAGGAGGGCGACGTCATCCCTCCGGCATCACAGCTGCAGATATGCAGTGGCTCAAGGTAGGGCTGCGACATGATTGGGAGACTGTGACGAGACTGTTGGAGACGCTCTCCTCGCGAAAGTAGCGATTCAAGTCACAGCGAAGATTGCCTGCTTCAGATGCTTCCTCTCTTCAGGTGATACTCGCTGTGCAGATCACAGAGACTTGCCTGCCTTTGAGAACCTGCTGGGACACCGAAAGGTGCAGCATGCCAGGCAACTTGCAGCACAGCTTGAAGCCCGTGCACGAAATACGGCACCTTCTGGAGTTCTCAGGAAGAGCCACACGGCACGGTGGTATTGATCTTCTCAGAGGCTGTCATGTTCGAGGGTGCGATTGGCAACAGAGGACCTGCTTGTGTCATGTTTAGGTCGAGCATAAAGTCGCAGCGACATTTTGATGTTTCAGAGCGGCTGAAGCGTCTACATCATCGCTCTTGCTGCCTACATCACAGCATCAACAGCAAGGCAGGAACATCAGCAGCCGGGACAGCTGCTGCGCAGCTGCGCACTTTCGTCCTCATCCTCTTCCTGCCACCACGAAGGCAAACACCACCGCCGACGACTTACACTGCTCTTGCTGATCTCCTCCTTCTAGGTCTCTTGCCCACCATTATTTCTGAAATAGGGTTTTGGGTTTCGGTCAAGCACACAACTTTGGTGTCGGGTGCAAGCTGCCACTCCAAATGGCAATGGTGGCTTCTGCGCGGTCCAGTGGTTTCAGGAAGTCCCGCGCCTGCCACGTTTTGAGAGTTCGGCGTAACACACATGGCAAGCAATGCAAAAAGCACCCTCTGCAGCTCGACAAGACCGAGAGGGGCACGCCATATGCAAGAAACATATGTTGTTTTTTGCTGCCGCAGGTGCCCACGGGACCAAAACTCGCGAAATGCCTGCCATGTTTTTTTGCGCTTTTGTGCCCGTTGTCAGATGTGACCGATTGCTCCCACTGCCACTGCCCCTGCCACTGTTCCACTACTACCGCTACTACTGCTACTACGTACTACCTGGTACCTACTGCCCGCTACCTGCTACCCAGTACCTACATGTACCTACTACCGGCTACCTCCTGACTACGAGCTACTAACCATGACCACCAACCTAACAAATGACGACTACCACTGCTGCTCGTGCTTCTGCTACGACGGCTAGGATGATTACGGCTACGGAAACCACTGCGATGACTCTCAAAGTTATCGAGCTTGCAGGAATGCTTGAGCTGATCGATGCAGACTCCGAGGCCTCCGCGAGTCTCAAGTTGCAGCGACGTACCTCAAAACCACAAGGAGCCACGATAAGCGTTCTATAGAGGCATGTTCGCATAGAACAGTGCGCTCTCAGCGCGGTATGCAGAGAAGCTTGCCTCATGATCGCTCGGTTAATTCGGATCAAGGCCGAGCTCTACTACGATGCGACGGTGGAGCGCAACCGGGTCACCATCCACGGCCCATTCCATCCAGGCTCAGATGGCTCTGTACCCATCGGACTACTAAAGCCTTCATGCTGGCAGGTCGAAGGTACTCTTTGCGATCTTCTGCGTCCGCACTTCTCGATCTGGCTGGCAATCGAGCAGCTCTGCTGGATTCGCTCGCGAGGACAATGGCGTTCACAGGAAATCCCTGATACGGACTGGATGAAACGGCTTGGCAGGCTGGCCAGGATACGAGTTTGAGGGATGACATGTGGAGGTTAACAAAGTCTGATGACACTTGTCAATGACAGGAAGGAGAGCGGTTGAGTGCTTGAAGGCATGCTGCCGCAAAGATCTGAGGCTCTCGACATGCCCTTGCACCCTGAGATCATAGAGATCAGCGATGATACCGATGGTGGAGTGCTCACTCATCATGTAGCGAGCGAGCGGTTGTAGCGACATGACTTGAGTCGTCCCCACCAGCCGATGTCTTCAGCGTTCACATTCGGGTGTCGTGTTTTGTGTGTACTGGTGCCAAGTTGCAAGTTGTGATCACAACGAGGTCCGGAGGTCGAGTTACCCATGCACCGCGAGATGCAGATGCACGACACTTTCTCGATTCGGTTCTTTGGCCAGACAGGGTGATCGGTGGGAGGGTTTGTGGTGGGAACACGGCCCGGCCCAGGTTTGATGAGGCCGTACTGCCTGGGAACAGCTCCATCATGCTGGAGTCCATGCCACCACCATACTGTGGCATCGGCTGCGGCAGGCGGCAATTGGCAGAGCAGTGTCGAACCTGCTTTCCACTAGCTGCGATTGTCGCCAGGCACGAGGTCAGCTCTTGGTCCCTGACCGCTCTGTGGCATGTGCACTTCGAGGAGAGTGGTGGCTTACGCAGTCTTCTGCAGGCAAGCCCGCCTACCGAAATGCTGCGGTTGCACATCTCCTTCCGTATCCAGCTGTTGATTCAGGTGGTGCCAGAGAGGCCGCTGCTTCCAGGACTCTCCGCAACTGATTGGCCTGCTTGCCCAAGATCTACCAAGCTTGCAGGATTCACCTATGCTCTCGTGGTTCCTCCAGAGTTGGCTATTGACACAGCCACTCAGCACGAGCATGAGCTACTGCCGATCAGCTGCAGGCCTTCATGCGAGCTGTGATTCCAAGGTCGGCAATGTCCAGTCGGAAGGGGCCTCCGGCCATTATGTAGCTGGGCTTGCAATCTTCAATACCTATAGACTGCTGCCACAGGTAACAGGTTTGGGTTAATTCTCTTATTTCGGTTCTCGGCGTGTTGTGTGTTTTGTGTTTCTCAATTCCCGCATAGGTTCTCGTGAGTAGCATAGTTGCTGGCGACGGTTTGCTGAGGTCGTAGCGCTGCAACGGGATGTTACACCACCACATCTCGTTGCGGCAATGATTGACGGTGCCTTGGCAGCAAGGGGTGAATCTTGACGTTATTCTGGCAGTGGTGTGTTTGCGTCAGATCTTGACAGGCCGGGCTGCGCCGACCATCTTTGACCAGGCCGATGGCACTGTCGGCTTTTCGGAACAGTTGCTCCCTTCATGACCTCCTAACCTCTGGCAGGATGTCTCAGCCAGGGGGCTGGAGCTGGTCTTCAGCGAGGCATTCTTTTGAGAAGCGATGTGCATTGCCAGTTGCCGCCATCCCAATCTTTCGCCAGTCTCTGCAACCGCTCGACACATCCGCCTCCCCACTTTTGCTGGTCCCGGACAACGGCCGGGCATCCCGGAGTATATGCGATGACTGATCGCAGCCACATCTGAAATCCGGAGCGAGGTGGAGATCGCTGCAGCGAGAATGGTGCCTGTATGCCACGCAGGACTTCATGGGCAGAGAGAGAGAGAGAGAGCATCTTGTAGCAGTGGAGTCTGGCAATCATCTGCCACGCCAAAGCATGTCACAGCAGGAACTGCTCGTTTCCGTGCAGCTTCATACCAGCAAGCCGGTCAGTCACCATTCCAGCAGCCAGCTTGGAAGTGAGGCACGCTTCTCTTTGTTTGCAGTCGAAACACCCACTTGTAGTTGGCTGCGCAGCCTTACAGTATCTGTTGGCAGTTGAAGGAGTCTTGGAATCGGATGGATCAGAATTTAGGAGGAAAGGTTTCGGAGCTTTGGACAAGTCGACAATGTCTTCAGGATGGTGTGTGTGTGTGTGTGTGTGTTAAGGTTTCGGTTGCATTGCAAGCACGGTGCAAAGTGGGCCTGCAATGCAGGGGGCCCATCGTCAGTGTGGACCTTGCGCACTTGCCGTCGTTGGAGTATGGCCATGGCTACAGGCAGGTTGATTTCACTTGCAACAGCTGCTGAGCGTGGGTCATGTTTGAAACTGGATTCAGCACAAGGCAGGTCCTAGGCATCCGTCGCAGAAGTTTGCGATAAAGATGCAGCACAAGACGAGAAATCTGCGTGTCACAGCCCTTGTGACCCCATAGTCGCCATAGTCTTCGATGTCGAAGTCAAAGCCTCGACAGGCTGCACGTGCAAGAAGATCTATTTCTGGACATGGCTGGCGCCCTGCCCGCAAGGAAAGTGCAAAGATGTGCAAAGCCTCCGGACCGACAGCTGTCGACCCGTACTCTTCGGGTAGGTTCGTTCATGTGCAGCTCGTGGAGCTTATCGAAGCCAGTGATCCGCAGCATCGTACCACACTCCCCGAACTCGACCTGCGATGCCCCTCAGCAGCGACCGAGCCCCAAAGGCAATGCAGGTGTTGCCGCAGAACGAAGCGGACCAGCTGAGCCCCCTGACTGCAACTTGAAGAGGTTCGTGGCATCTCTCCCCTTTCTTTCTTCTGCCTGACAGGCACTCGCTTCAGCCACTCAACTCGTCCACTCTGACTATCTCTTTTTCGGAATTCTTGAAACAGCAAGAATCCACGGCGCCAGAAAGTAACAGAGCGAACATGAGCGAGTGAGATTTTCAAGGCGGAGGCCCACTTCCGGACCAAGCCAAGAACAAATCCGTGTCTGTTATATACCTCCAAGACGATTTGTCCCTCTCCCTCTGCGAGGTTGGTTTTCGAGGTGGCAAACTCCGAGGCACAAGTCTCCCTGCCCGCTGCCCGTCGGTTGGGGCCAACCGCTTGGAGCTTCAGGTTTGCAGGTGATTGCAGGTCTTTTGTGGATCTGTAGACGATCTAGGGCCTTGCAGCGCTGAAGGCCAGCTGGTAAGCGGCAGCTGCAACCTCAAATGCCAGGATGAAATTGCAGATGATCCGGAAATCGTGGCGACCTTTCCGGCAGATGGAGAGCTGATGGCCTGGAGCTTGCGCTTACCGCGATCTGGGCCCGCCACCTTTAGCGTTCTCCTGAAACCGCAGGTTCCGCAAACTTCGGCCTTGCAGATCACGTTTGACCGGCCCATCCAGGCAAGATGTCTAACATGGTCCCGTCTTTTGCCTTTACGGCGTTGTGGCTAGACATGGCGTGCCAGGTGGGTTCGGGAGACTTTGTCCTCGTCCCAACGAGAGAACTCAATGGGAGCGCCGGCAGCCAAGTGTCAATCTCCGGAATTTCAGGGCTGGCCGAACGCTGATGACTTATGGAAATTTGGCTCAACTAGCCATGGAGTGGAGCATGCACTGCAGGTGTATGGCATCCGAGAGCAGAATGCCTCGCGACCCTTGGCAGCAAACACTTTACCATGTTTACAGGAATGCACAGACCCTAGAAGAAGTATGCGGGGCAGGCACTGCAAACTACTGTCTGCTACCGAGTGACACTGTTCACCTGTATCTGAGTTGTCATGTGTCAGGAAGTGATGAGCACCAGCATGATGTCGACGATGAGAACAACAGCGATGACAACCAGAGTACCGAAATGCCCCTCGCCACTTCGGGAGTCTGCCCAAGCATGGCAATTCCCGGCGGGGTCGTTTGGAATGACAAGGATCTTCATGTCAGACACTGCAGGCCGAGACATTCGGCTTGACCCGAGCCTGCCCAGGTGGGGAGACGACAGCTCCGCTGGTCCAATGCGCCCGAATTTCACGACCATGGCAGATGCAGCTCGGCAGGGGGGATGCGCACATGCAGGAAGGCACGTTCCAAACTTCATATGCATGCTCGCTTGCAACAGCTGCATCGCAGCAGCGACAAGGTCGTCGCTCGCCTTTCATAAGGGCTCTCAACAGGTGCGGTCATGTGCGCCGCCGGACCCCCTTTCCTAGGCGGTGATGATCTCGGCAGCAAGCTGCCATGCTTCACGTGCTACGGCCGGAGACCTGGAAGTTATGAGGGGGACCCCAGAGCTCGCGCGAGAGTGAGACGAGACCTCTGGCATGCAGGTGACCTGCCTGCCTCCGGCTCTTCCTCGTGGGATGGAGCTGCTTGGCCTGTGTTCGCTACACAGTGGGCGCGTCCGCTTCTTCAGTAGCTGCCACCAAGCATTGGACGTTAGGGGTTCGTATGTCTGTTTGGGACTTGATGGTGACGTGCCATGGCCGCCCGTAACGCAGGCATTGCAAGCTGTAGTTCTGGCTTGTTAAGTTAAAGCGCTCTCATACCTCTGCACAAGCACGGCCTCGACAATGTTGACTCAGACGGCGCCGTAATCCTGCCGAGGTATGCCATTGGCTACACGCACGGAGCACTGCAGGCATGAATGGTGGGTGAGTCATTGCCGTGCCGTAATGTTCGCACGAATCCGTCTCGGATTGTTTTCTCATCCTCTACGACTCTCTTTCTGTCACCCCGAACTCGTATTCCGGAATGTGCAATGACTAGAATGGCAAGCTGCAAGGTCCAGGGCCGGCCTGTTGCATCGGGGCCTCTCGGGCGTCTTCCTTCCTTCCAGGTCATCGTCGGGTGGCCAAGAGACGAGTTACTTTACATGCTGTGTGGAGCGGGCTGTGCAAGTCGGTGTCCGAGGACCGGAGCTACATGTTTCTGAGTGTCAACGCAGTCTTCCCATCGGGCCAGCCCAAGCCGAAGCCAGCAGAAGACGAAGAGCTCGGGGCTCGGCCTGGGCCTCTGGCCCCTTTGAACCGCCGCAAGGGGGCCCTTTTTGCCCAGGCACGGACAGCCGCCTGGGCCGCCTGGGCCGCCTCGTCGTCTCAGCCACGGTGAAGACGAAGACGACGACGAGGCCACGCGGCGCCACGTGCCACGTGCTGTGTCTGTTCGTGCAAGCATGGCCAGAGCTAGAGCCAGAGCCAGTTCTACCGTGGAACCCGCAACCCTAGTCACCCCTCGCCGACGGCAGTCCTCCTTCCTTCGGATGCTTCTCGCAACGGAGGCCTTCGCACTCAGCCCGAAGCCCCAATGGTCAGGATCCCAGACTTCGCAAAGTGCAGGGAGATATACAGATGGACTTGGACGTGTCCGAGTGATGGGCAGTAAGCGTGCCACTGCTTTGACCTTCTCCAGCATGAGCCCGCGTGAGGAGGGCGACAAAGCCAGGAGCCATGCCCCTGGTCACTGAGGTATGCCGCAAAAGGGGCCACCATGGCAATCAACTTCTCGGCTCGAGTCCAGGCAGCCACACAACCTTGCGCTACCATGACCTTGCACTTGAATTGCTCTTGCAGTTTGGGGCTGGGCGACTTCTGATTGTGGACTGCTCTCCGGGCAACGCCTCGAGGTGCAACATGCTTTTGTTGGGGAATTCGTCGTCAGTATGCTCAGCAGCCATGTCAAGCTTCCTGATTGATCCATGCTGTGTCCGCCACAGTGGACGTTGTCAAGGCAGCACGGGATTCTTTTGCTGTTGCCGTGCGTGGCTGTGCCTGCGCGCTCACGGCTAACGCTACCTACCGGTGGTTCGAGTCTTTTGGCTCCCAGCAGATCCGCGGAGCCAAGAGACTTTAGGTGGCCAGTGTCGTCGCTTGCCTTGCCTTGAGAACTGAGTGTTTCTTCGAGTCTCTGGTGTCACTTGCCGGTCGGTTCGCTTGGTTCGCGCCTCGTGGAAATCAGATGCAGCTTGAGGGCTGACAGTGCTTCAGTGACAGCTGTCAGGACTCGTTGTCTCTCTCGCCCTCTCTTCGCACCGACGATTTGGATGTTGACTTGCCCAGGACACTGGCCATGATTTCTGGCGAAGCGCGCAAGACTCTAGTCGAGCCGCGGGCCAAGCCAAGGGGGCCCGTGATGCATGCTTTCCGGAGTTGACCTTGCTTTCAAAACATGTCTCACGGTCTCACGCCAAAGTTTTAGGACGATAGAGGTGATTCACGTCATCTTCCTCTCGTTTAGGCTTCCTTAGTTGCTCTGCACCTGATTTTCGAAATGTTGCATCGGGTCCTGAACCAAAGCGGAACGCTTCACCAACCCTCATGAACTCGCAGAGCTGGGGCAAGTACCTCCGAAGTCCCCTCATGCCTTGATGCTTTCGGTTCCCTTGAGGCTTGCTGCGATCTGCCGCTGGTCGTCTACGGTGCTGCAAACTCGGCTCCAGAGGCAGCGGAACTCTGAGATGAGCAGTGGCCTCGAACCTCTTCCAGATAATCTCAGGATCTGAGCTTCTGCAACAAGATCTGAAGGACTCCTATGAGGTGCTGTGAAAAGCTTCGACCCCTTACTGACAGGCTGTGGCTCGGAGACGCGAGCACCTCTGCCAAAACCTGGGCCTTTCCTTGACATTGGTTGGCCTCTGACTGTTCCGTTTCGGCCTGACTGTTGTGGTGCCTGAAGGGAACGGCATTGGGCAGGATAAGGAGGTCTCTCTCCGGGTCCAGAATGTCTACCAGCAGGGTGAGTGTTAAACCATGCTGCATCCGTTTAGCAGAAAATGCATTGTAGTAGGTACGCGCGATTCAACATTTGATGTGCGAGACTGCCAAGGTTTGCCCTTCACTTGTCACGCCTGCACCCAGGCTGCAACATGCAAACTTGACGTGGAGGGAGGAGGGCCATGTCAAATCATGCGATGCGTTGCGGCGCTGCTTTAGGACATCGCTGGGAGTTGTGCAAGGTCGGTAGTTCTCAAACGAACCCCTCTTGGCCAAGGCACCTACCTCTTCAGGCCGTCCAGGCTCCCCACTCCTTTCCAGTCGGCGGAGCGCTTCCTCCCCAAGGCCCTGCAGCTGTGATGTGAAGTGCTCGTTCGCCCGCTTGAACTCGCGTTCCCTCCCTGCTAGCTTTCCCCAACCACGGGTGGTTGCACGCCTGGACCGTTCCATCATGTTCCATCGAAGACACCTCTATGACTGCGTGGAGGATTAAAGCGTAAGAACGCCCACTTCAGCCAGGCCTGCAACTGTCGGGGCCCTGTGGGCTGCAAATTCCCCGGCGGTTGCAGCCTCAGCTTGAAGTGCCAGTGTCGCTCTCGCACATCGTAACAGCAGATGCGTCTATGATTTATGATTTATGGACGTTTATGACAAACTTGAGTAAAACAGAAAGCAAAGCTGAAAAGCTGAAGGCGTTTCTCGTGGCCTTAGTGTGCCGCGATGTAGGCTGCATGGTCTTTGTGGCTTAGGTGGACCAGGCCGGCTGCAGCCTTGCCCTGTAGAGGCCAGGGACAGGCTGACAGTGTCAGGAGGTGAACCTAGACCCCGTGCATGTCATTCCAGGTTGAGGCACGCTGAGCTCCATGGCCCGCGTGCTGCGTCGCTTGCGGCCGGAGGCAGCGGACGTGATACGCTTTTTCTACCTAGAAGCTGGGCTGCCGAAAAGTCGAACACTCGAAGGTTTTCTGCTTCGCTGAAGTGTTTCGGTTGTCTCTCCAATGAGCTCGTGCGCAAATGGTGCGAGGCCCTGGGGGTGCAGGAACTGGGGAGTTTGTGGCGGCCACCAGGCAAAGGCGGGATCAGCGCACTGTCTTTTCGAGCTGCCGAGATCTGCGAAGTCCGTCGTGCTTGGCAGGGCCTGGGATGTGCCGGGGCAGGCCTGCCCAGTTTTGGATGTATCCAAGTGCGGCGCGTAGACGGTCCTAGTCTTGCTGGCTTGCCTGCTGCGTCCGTTCTTTTAACTTAGCTGTCATGTAGGTGGCCAAATCAGTCGATGTTTCCGGGAGATGGCGCCGCTGCCTCAGAGTTTGCTCAGTTCATCTTGTCGTAAGTACACAGATTCAACAAACAAGCCATACCTCACACCTGATGGTCACGGCAAGCCTCTTTCTAGGTAAAGCAAGGCACGAGTTGTGTTCCGTTTTGGTTTTGTATCGGTAGCCTGTTTTAGCCAACACAGCGACCCAACACCAGGCCAGGCCAAAGTCCATGCCATGCCTGGTGGCCCTAGATCCTCACGCACTGCTTGCGTTTTTCCTCGTGGTCTGCTTCTCGCCTGAAGGTGGCCAAGAATCTGCAGCCGTGGAGGCCGGAGTGTTTCCGGGCACTGGTTTCGGTTGGTCCGACTTCGATCCTCGTCTGACTCTTTGCGAGCGCTCAGAGAGCCCGAGACCTGAGGCACCTAGTATGATTCCCTCCTTTGGACCAGAGGGATAGCTTGTCTTCATGAGCATCAGAAAGCCCCCAAACAGAAACAGGACACTGCTTTCCCAGCCTCAAGATGCGAAGTCTTTCGAGGCTGAAGCTTGATGCCAAGCTACGCTTTCAAGCCCTAACCCGAGGCCTAAACCTCGGCCCAAGCCTCCGAACCCCGCGCCGAGCTTGGCTGCACCGTCCCTGCACGGCTTCGACCGACCGCTGTCGGGCTGGGGTCCGGTGCCTCGGCAAAGTTTTCTCTCCACAGAAGAGGCTTCCAACAACTCTGGGGCTTGCGCTTTCCGGTGAGCCCTGCCTGGCCCTAGGCGTGCTTGCGAGCATAGAGGTTGTGGCGGGATCAGAGCGTTGTTCGTAGTACCTGAGCGGGAAAGCCGAGCCTAGCAGTCGTACAACGTCCTTTACCCGAAGTTCTCCTCTCCGCAAGCTTGCACATCTCCCGCTTATAAAGATTATTGGTGTCGGTTGAACGATGCCTGGAGTCTCCCAACACTTGGAGGGACAGAATTGAAGAAGTATTGCTTTGCGACAGGCGATCCGGGTCGTTGAGGGGCGATGTAGGGGTCCCGACTCCCGACTTCGTTGTTTGCACTTCGAGTTTCGAAATATGTAGAACATCGACGACTGCATGACCTGTATAGTGGTTGTGCTGCACAGAACCAGACATGTGCCATCCATGAGTATCCCCCCAAGCCGCAGTCCATGCCAAGTCACCCTTCGAGCCGAAGACCAAGCCTCCAGACGAATACTGCCTGAGTCTTGGGAAGATCACAGATGTGCTCAGGAGCGAACTTATCAAGAGACACTCTTTTGGATCAAGGTCGATTGGCCGGGTATTGTGGGGCAAGAGCTGACAGTATCGTGACTCGTCATGTCTCAACCCTGAATTCCCGCAGGAGTGACTATCCGGAGCCTCGGCAGAATCTAGCATCGCCACCTCGGCCTCGCGCTTGTTGGGTCTTCTGACTCTGTCGGCTGCCCCTGAAATCTCATGACTTGCGAGCGCTGCGACCGGAAGAAACATTGACATGCTGACGGCTAAGAGCAGAACTTAAGAGATCATGTTGCTTGGAGCCCTGCTCCCGGTCCTGCCAGGTGAGAGGCCCAACATCTGTGAATTGCAGTTTATCTGGTCTCTGGCCGTCCGTTGTTTCGCTAAACCATGTTTTGTCCTAACCATTCCTAACCAATATAAGCTGTTCTATTCTCTCCGATGTCCTTCCAGCAACATGCTCTGACCTGTGAAACTAGATGCCAGAGAGTGTATCCGTTTCTCCAGTCTAGTCACCTTACAATGGCAAGTCACTCTGCACCTTAACGGCGAACGTCACATGCCGCCCTACCCTACCGCTACACTTTCTACCATCCTACCATCTAGTCACCCTGCAATGCCTAGGATGGGGTCGAGGTTTAAGGGTTTAAAGTGTTGGGTCTTACGGGTGGTGCCCGGTCCAAGGCGTAAAGGTCATGCTGGTCTGTGGACGTTTGTTGAGACAATCTTTTTCCAACACAACTTCATCTTGCGAATATTATCGGTTGTAGGGTAGCTCTAGGGCGACACCTAGATGTCACGTACTCAGAATTGCTGCTCAACGTCGTTGCTCGAGTTGCTGGCAGCTTGTTTCTCTACCATTCATGCATCTTTCCTGTACCTTCCTCGCCATACTAAGGATTTCTTTGCCAGAGCTCCAGACTTCAGCATTTACGATGAGCTGCCTGGCAGAACCGCTTTCCGCTTGCTTTGCCAGTCGGTGTGTGCAGAAGGGGTATCCTGCAGAAAGTAGCCCGCCAAGTTTCCCAAACGGAGCTCTTTCTGAAACAGCATGGCTTGTGAAAGCCTGAGGGCACTGACGCTGCAACTACGGAAGCCGTGGGATGAGCCAAAGCAGCTGGCCGGATGCCTGTCGACTTACGAGTCTTGCTGCAAGAGCCTAAGCCCAACCCAGAGGGACTCATACCCGAAACTCTGGCTGTTTAGATGGAAACCTTCGGTTTCGGTTCCGACAGAGTTGGAAGTAGTTCGCTCGCTTGGAGGTTCAAGGCTAGCGGTGCTACTGTAGTTCTTCTCGAGTGGCAAGCGCAGAATTTGCTCGCAAGCTGGAAGCTTCTGCAGCTCGAGCTTCAGGAAACGTGCCTCTCATGGATTCGTGCATTGAGCAAGAGAGTGATTCACGATGGACTTGCTGCTTGGTCGCAGACATGACGTAGACGAGGTCGTCAAGTCAGTTACTTTCTGTGCCAGTCTTCTTCGCCGGTGCTTGCCTAAGGTTGAGTGCCAGGTCTGTGACGGCCGACCGCAGCTTTGATGTATTGGGACGGAGGTTGAAAGTCATGTGGTCATATGTTGTCGGATGCTGCAAGGGTTACCATCCGGGAATGGCAGCTCGAAGTCAATTCTGAACCACCAGTAGGAGCGCGACGATGTTCCGCGTCCTGTGGTTTGACATGACCTAACAGAATCAAACACGTGCTGTAATCCCACTTTGTGCGTGTGAGACCGGGGACTGCTTTGAGGTACGGTTTCGATCTTCGGGTACACTGGACTTGCCAGGGGCAGCTGCGTTTAGGTGGGCTGTCTGGTGCTTTTCGCAGTCCATGTGCACTGCAGATAGGTGCAGCTTCGTGCGGGTAGTGACAAAAGCCAATAAAGAAATGATTGGCATTGAATTGAACGTAGATTGATGGTGGCCTGTAGTTCGGATGGTAGACGAATGTAGACGACTTTCCAAGGCTACCCCAAACTATCTTTGCGGATTCGTGTGGCTTGGAAACCGTAGCTGCGTACCAAAAAACGAGCCGAGATAAAGTCGGCAGGTCATGATCTCTGCACTACGCGTTTGGTCCAGACCCCATTAGAGGACAATCTAATTATTCCCGAATGAATAAGAGCACAACCATGGCCCTGTTTCCTCCTGATTACACTCCGAAAATTCAGGTATAAGTAGTGACACTTTCCGGCAGATGTGAAGACTCAAGACCCGCAGTTCTGTTACTTCTGTCTGTCTTGACGTTCTTTTAGTTTTTTTCTCTGACCACAGCCTGGCTTTTGGAGGCACTGAGAAAAAGATTGCACAACGAGTCACAAAGATAGGCAGAGGCGGACTACCCACGAAGATGCTTGCACCGTTATGCCGGTACTTGGTTGTAAATAGTCTGGCAGCTGGATGAGGATGGTGCCACTCGCAACATCGTAGCCAGCAGCCAGCTGGACGCAACTAGCAGCAACATGATTCGATCGACATCCGTGCACAAGACTGGAATGGACACGCTGCGCTCGGTTGCGACTCATGTCAGAGCCACTCTTGACCAGAGCACCGAATTCAGACCGCCCGAGAAGGCGATTTTCAATTTTCATCGCCCCAACCCAGTACAGTCCATCGTAGCGACTAAGCCAGGACCCCTTGTAAGGGACCTTGGGCAACCTTTTTGTTGAGCAACTTACGGTGGGCTTGAGCATTTCTTCGTCGAGGGTTTTTGATATGAAGTCTTCGTAACGGTTGCGCCAGCATCTCTGACAGCAGCAAGCGCAGTGGGATTGAGGAGGGGTTGGGCACACATTGGGGCTCAATTAAATTGTTACTTAAATATCATACTACTGCTCAATACCACCAAAACTAAGCTACATCTGGCCACGCGGTGGTGGGGCTGGGTGGGGCCGGGTGAGATTGGGGGCATACATTGGAGTTCAATTAAATTATACTTTACTACTACTATTCAATACCACCAAAACTTAGGCAAATCTCTAGCCACGGGGTGGGGCTCGAGTGAGTCGAGTGGGGCTGAGTAGGGCTGGGCATTAGCATTTGCTGTGTGGGAAGCTTCTGCAACTTGCAGATGTGAGAGGCTACAGAAGCTTCAAGATCTCGGCTATATCCTTGTACGAGATGAGAAAGCAGGAAAATCTGGCGGCCGATCCTTGGTTTAAAATTGATCTTCGGAATCTTGCACCCGCTGCCAATGTCATGTCGAGCCTGGGACGTTGGCCATCTCTCGTTCATTCCCATTCCTGTCTGCTTGCACGAAGTACGGTTCGGTAAGGAAGAGCGGGTGGCCTTCACATTGCGCAGCCACTGTCAGCTCTAGTGACTCTAGTCTCACTTTGCATGCAAGGATTCGCAACAACTTGCGTGGCGGATCCACAAGCACGTGATTGCCCCTCCGGCTTATGTTTGACTGTGAAGGAGAGAACAGTTGGACTCAGGAGCTGAATGATTCATGTACAAGCCGTGAATCGGTGGGAGGTGAAAGCATACTAGCATGCAACTTTGCCGGGTTGCCTGTCTGGACACGATGCTGCCAGCAATCCGTGGATTGCATGCTCTTCGGAACTTGGGCCGGAGACGCAAAAGGTTTTGCTCAGAGCTCAATATTGGTGCACTGAGGATGTCACAGAGATTCGCCCCTGTTGCCTTCGGCAGACTTTGATGAATGGCTTCGAGGATCGCCCACCCGGGATGTACTGCAGATGTGCACCACGCACTTGCATCACCTAAGCTTGTGCTCAGAAGGAGCTGGAGATGGAGCCCGCTCCTTGAAGCTTTGCAGATACCTTCAATTTGCCGCAGCAGCTCGGCTCATCTTTCGACGGAATTGCATCGGATGCAAGATGCCAGTGACTGTCACATCTAGGCACTCTTTGCGGTTCTAACTCTTCGAGTTCGAATGTTTACAACCAACTTGGCCTTCAAGCGGGCACGTTGCGAAAAGGGCAGAATACAGGAATCACTAGTGAAACTGGCAGGGTGCATGAGGTCCCGACAGTCCTGTCTGTTTCACCCACGAGTCCTGACGACGACGGTCTGATGTGGGCTTGCCTCGCAGGTTGTCCATTAGCCAGATGACATCCTTCAAGTGACTACAAATGCTGCTGAGTGCATCTCTATAGCTTTTTCGGGTCAGGCTGGGAGCCTCATGTGGGTCCGCAGCTCAGAGTCCTGGAGCTCTTGTGCATGTGGGTTTGTACTGCTACGAGTACCCGGTGTCAGCCCACCTACTGCCACACTGCGTTGGAGCTCTCTTTCAGAGGGGTCGTTTCCTTGCGGACGTAAGTGGTGAACCGGGCGAGTTGCTTTGAGATCTCCTGTTCTTATCTGGGCTGCTGTTGCTACGAGTCTGCGCCGATGTAAACCGAGGCACCTGCGCAAAATTCGTCCTACGGTTGTTTCTTGCGGTTTTCAAGTCCCTGAAGCAAGCGATCAAGAATTATTTCAAGCACATTTGGAGGGGGAGCGCTGGTAGGTTTCGCAAAGGAGCCGTCCAGCAGCGCTGGATCCAGGCTCCCCCATAGGTAGGTAGCTGAGATGCTATGCAATCTTCGCAACGAAAACTCTAAAAGGAGTTGGCGCTTACATGCCGCGTCATTTTCCCAGGAAGTGGATGGCAAGGGCAGCTGAAGGGTTCGACGCGGGTGTTGCGGTGTTACTCCATAATTCGTGAATATTATCGTGCTCTTTTACTCCTTGAGTGTTGCGGTGAGTTACAGTGCCTCGTCGTTTTTCATATCCTGAGAGGCGGTGGTAAATGTAGGACCCGTGTAAGTGCAAGCGTCATGCACATAACCTGTTGGGGTAGCTTCGGCTCGAGGCCACTGAGCCTCGACTGCTAGGTGCTGACCGTGCCGTTCCAGCTGACACTTGTTCTTCTCTTCCTGCGAGGATGACCATGGAGGTATGGGGCCTCACGCAAGCCGTGGGTACGGATCAAGTTTGCACAGGAGGCAGTTCATCGGGTCATACCTTTTGCATATCCAGGTTCCGTTTCCTCCAGGCCATCCCGTGAGGGATGGTTCCCGAATTGGGAAGGCGTTTCTCAGGGCGTGTGCCATGCGATCCCAGGGGTCAACAGAGCAGCTGACTGCGGATGTCTTGCTGGCGTGCCACTTGTAGCATTACCTAAGGATCAAATACAGCTCGAGTGACCAGCATCTGGTGCCTCTGGAACTTGTTGTCCGCTATCTTCGCTATGACCCCTCGGTCAGCCTGTACAGAGAGGCCGGTGTGTGCAAGCAGGAGGCCTTAAGACAGCCCTTGGAGCACGGCCCTGGCAACATCTAAGCAAGGCTTCCTGCTTGCATGCCTCATGCTCTTAATGCCAGCGCTCCAAAGCGCAGGCCCGACGAAGGAGCAGGTAGCATGATGTCCACTGTGTGTGCGATAGTCATCGGCAGCCTACTGTTTCTGTTGGGCTAACGTGTTCGAGGCAGTATGCTTCCTGTGTGTGGTGGAGAAGCAAAAGCTTGAGTCGTGATGGCTTGGGAATGGCAGCATGAAGCCCCGTGTCATGCAGCGAGCCTGCTTCACAGGTGCTTCGATGGCATCTCAGAGTTGGTGGCAGATGAAGAAGTCATGACCATCGAGGTGAGCCAGCCTCACCCCTCAATGAGATTGGCGATGCACAGACACAAACGCTCTGCCTGTAATATGTGTCCGAGATCCGTTCTTCTGTAAATTTCAATAGTTGTTCCGGATCAAAGGATTAGCCGTGCTCTCCGCGCTTTGCAGCAGGTCACATCTGACGTCGCTGCGGAGCACATCCTTCTTGATGGCATGCGGGCTTCCCAGCCTAAAGAAGCTCGATGCTTCGACGACTGCTCTGCAGTTTTCAAGCTACAACTAGCGATGCACTACGTCGAAGGCGCCAGGCAACAGCTGCAGTAAGATGATCAGGGTCCTGAGCAACTATTCACCGAGACATGCCTGAGTGGGCGATGCAGGAAGGAAGACTGCCTAGTATGGCCATCATAATTGCCATGATCAGTTGTATTGCAGTGACGATTTGATGACTCTGACAACACTTTGACAAGAGCTCGACGTTTCCGAGGCAGGCCATGCTGGTGTCTTCCGGGCTGCGGCCTGGCAGGCTTCATGCCTTGCGCAGCCACGTGCTGGGAGTCTTCCGGGACGAGGAGATGGGGAGGGGAGCGGTTTGTTGACTGCAAGGCCGAAGCGAAATCTCCCCTTTGAGAGGACGGGAACCCTCTGCTGCCTTTGACTTCCGGCCTCGAGTTTTGGGTGCCCTTCTGAGCCGGAAATGGCACCGGCTTGTGCTATTATGCTGAGGCCATCTGTGACATCTCCACTGAGGTCCAGCCAGACGACAGCCGCTTTCCGGAGATCCTGCGGCAGGCCGCAGTTCAACTTGCTCTGCATTGAGATTATTATCCTTTTCCTGGTCCCGGTGGTTCAGCAGCTCTCGGCAGCTGACTCTTTGCCTGTCTTCTGCTTCAACCCTGGAGCGCTAGATGGTAGACTGGTAGACTTTCAATCCCCAAGGCTGTCCTGTGGGCTCTGAAGGTGCCGGCACACATGGGCCATGCAGCCAGCAACAGCAACATTACGTTGTTCTTCAACGAAGACCTGCAGGCTCGTCGTAACAATGTTCTAGTCGCTGTGTGCGTTCCAGGCTAGACTCTCCAATGATTCCTGCAGGCGGATGTCAATGGCACCATCAATATCAGCGATGGTATGCAGGCTTCGTCAGTTTCTCTCAAGCAGCCGCTGCTGATCTTCCGGAGTGCAGCTGTGCCAGGAGGAAATCATCTCCCTTTCCGCCCCGAGCAACTTGCCTGGGATGGGCTATGCCTTGACCTCGGGACGAAGACCAGACCTGCGGTTCGGAGAGACCCGATCGCAACTGCAAGGTGCTACTTCAGGGCTCCATGGTTGTCATCAACCCCGCGATGGACTTTGGTCCGAACCTGTGCTCTGACGACTTAGGTCGAGGGACTGCAGCATGCTCCGAGACCGGTTAGTGTATTTATCCATCTCGATATGGCATGATGTACTGCGTATACATGCCAGTAGGTCAAAGCTCCGTCCTGCTCCACGTCCGAGGCCTAGATCGAGAGGTGACCGTCACCTTCGACCACGGGATCTTTCGCGACTTTGCGCGGAACCCGTGTCAGATTCGCGCTTGACGGTGCAATAGTAGTTGGTACTGCAGCAGTACTGCATAACTACTTTGAGCATCTATGCAGTGGCAAAAAGCTCGCCCGTGCAACATATGTGATATGCAAAGCCTTCGTATCGTGTATGCAGCTTGCATGTATGTACACGTATCTGTGTGTATGTATGTTTGTATGGATGATGGACGACGGATGGAAGGAAGGATGGATGAATAACAAGCAAGCAGACAGGCAGGCAGGCAGTCCTTAGGCTGACATGGATGCATGTATGAATGTATGTATGCATGTATGCATGTGTGCGAGCGCATGTACGTACGCAAGGTATGTATGTATGCATGCATCATCATGCATCAATGTATGTAGTTCCGTGTATGATACTGTGAGGACTTAGTGCATGTATTGTGTACGTATGTGGCAACGTCGCGTATGGCATATAGTCATATTCCACACAACCTTGTGGAACCTATATAGAACCTTGTAGAATCCCACACTACTTCTACCCTTTTGAAAGATCGATCTGGCGGTAGTCACATTTTGTTTTTCCTCGTCGTGCTGTGGCCTTTTATGATTCTATAATCGAACTTCTGCGGCTGAGGCCGGCAACCCTTTCAGAGGGCCGGGAGCCCAGCGCAAGGAGATGGGGAAAATGAGCCAGGGAGCATGGAAAGCCTGGTACTCCCAAACACATGTGGTATTGCGATAAATGTTGTAGGTGAAATTGCTGAACTGAGGGGGTGCAGGTTCCAGGTTAATTGCGGTTCCAGGTTAATTGCAATGACTGCTGCATGCTTCCGATAGTCTGCAGCATGACACTCAGCATGACAAGCTCAAAATGGCAGGTAGCATCTTCTGAATGGTCATCGTTGGCAACAAGCTTGCGGTTGTGGCACGCCGAGGTTGCAGGAGGGTGAGTATGTCTTCCACTCAGCGCCGGCGGCGTTTTCGCTGATCGCTCCATATGTGTCAGAGTCTCAGAGAACAGACGGACGCAATGCAACAACACGTTCTGTGGAGAGCTGAAGCGGGCTCGGACTGGGCACGGTCATTCAACTCGTGCCTCCTTGCGCGGCTAAAGGCGCTACCCAAATTTCCGTGAGCCGCGCTTCACACCAAGGGCCGGTGCGGGATGCTCAGGCAGCATGTGCTTAGCACTGCTACCGGTTCACGTTTCTTCCGCGTGGCTGAAGAGCGTTTTGCTCATTTTTTGTGTTCAATCCCAGGCAATGCTGCACCACGTCGATGGCACCTTTCTTCTCGTCGGGGGCGAGTCCGAAGGCTTTTGCCTGGCCGATACCTGGGCAGCGTTGCCAAGACCAGAGGGCTCAGAGCTTTTCTGCACGCTTGCAGTTGGGCAACTGACGACTTACATTCGCCCCCCTTCTGCCTCGGCTTGCCAAGGTCTCTCAGACTGGTGTCGACTGGACACAGGTCGAAGGCGTGATTTCCCAGGACTCTTTGGAGCGTGCCTTTCTCTAAAGCGCATATGAATTTCAGAAGTATTGGGTATGCTTGAGCAACTCTTCTAGCACTTGCAGATACACATACGCACCCGCTATGCGTTCACTGGACGTGCTGCCAGCAGCTCGTAAAGCCGGAGTGTGGATGCACTTGTATGCAGCATTGCCATTAACGCGAGGACTTTTTTCGAGCGATTCCCCTTGCTTGAAGCTCAGCGCGTGTGGCAAGCCAGGGCATTTGTGACCGATAGGGACAGGTTGACTCTGCTAAAACTGCTTAATCAGAACTGTTGCAACGACTCCAACTGTTTATTCCTGGTGCAAGAAAGGCGGTTTGGTAGTTAATTCAGAACTGCGGCCGCAGCCTTGTGTTCTGGTCTCTATCCACCACTCGCAACTCAGATCGCCCACTCGCCCTCGGTCCTGGACAAAGACGGTTGCATTGTGCTCAGCTGGACTGTCTAGCTCTCTGATGCAGGCAGGGTCAGGCGGTGTTTTGCATAGCCCCTGAACCCGCCGTGGCAGCTTCGACCAAGGCGTTTGGATTCTTGGTGGGCAGTGCAATGACGATTCTGGAACTCTGTGGAAGACGTTCCTGACCCAGCAATAAGTATACCTTAGCTTCAGATGTGCAGATCACGTGGGTCCTGAGATCATAGAGCAGATTTGATGGCTTGCGTAGCCAGCTCTGAAGCATTCTGAGGTGTGACATTGGGCGTTCCTGGATGCACATGCCCAGATCCCGCGCCATCCCTTTTGGCCGGACACCAAGGCTAGGCCAGATCTTCGATGATCTCGCATGCCAGGCACCCCAAATCAAGGTCTTACTTTGACTTGGAGTTTAGGGCTTCCCCAGAGTCTGATGCACCACCAAGGCCAGGAAGTGCCGCCCAGCTTCCCAGCAACCTTTCGAGCACCCCGGTTGCAAATTCGCTCAGAGCAACTGTCTCCTGACTGAGAAGGAAAGGCTCAGTTACGAAGGCTGAGAAGGTTGTGTATTCAAGCCGGGCCCATGATGTAGGAAGCTAGCTTTGTTTGCCGGAGTTGAAAATCGTGCGAGAATCCGCGTGCTATTTGGTGCTCTGCGGTTTAGCAGATGTCAGGACCGAGATGTCATTCATTCGGAGCTGAGGGCCAGTAGTCCCAAGCTAAAACAGAAGCAGGTTTGCCGACCAAGCCCCACACCACTTTTGAAGACCTTCAGGCTGTAATTAGCTTCTCACGCGACGTACCAAATGACAGCTTAGGTTTCGGGGGTTTGGAGGCCTGGGTCCAGTGCGTCCGCGTACCAAGGATCATGCGTTGGCGATCTTGGGGGGTGCCCTGGCTGACCAGCAGGGGAAGCTGTGTGCGGGGCGGGTAGGGTGGAGTGGTGCAAGCGAGGTCTGACATGGCTCATGGAGCACCTCAGATAATACACCTGCAGGTTGGCAGCTGGTAATAGCGGATGTCTCGCCGGACAGCAGCGAAGCCATTTGGAGGCCCCGACAGAGATGCCAAGTTTTGGTGATGATGCTGATGCTGGCGGTGGATTTGGTAAACCTGCTCGTTGGTATCACCATGTTGTCCTGCATCCTGAAGTCTTCGGGGCCGCTCCAGACAAGACTCCTGGGTCCTGCTCGCTTGGCAGCTCCGGTCGCCCCTTTGTCTCAAAGTTGCCTTATACAAGAGGATGATGGGCGAGCTCCCAGATTCCGGGACACCGACATCCCAATCCGCACACAAAGCAGGACGCAGGGCTCTGAAGCTATGTAGAGACTCAACTAGTAACTAGTGTCAGTGAACAAGATTCTCGTGAGCAGAACTTGGTTTCCCAGTCAGAAAAACCGAGCCCATTTTACGTAAACTTGCGTACCAAACCATCTTGCCCACCTGCTGCAGGCGTTCATGCAGTCATGATGGTTGCAATGAACGAAACAAAAACATTGATATGTGCGCCTTCGTTGGTACGAGAGAAAACCGGGTTGTCTGCCTTCTGAGTCTTTGCGAAATTTAGGCTGCACTGTGCTGCCAGATTTGTGGCCCCGGATGCCGAAAGGGTTCAGCGAGTTGGAGGTGGGCGTGCGCCGGGCTCGGTCTCAGCTTGAATCCAGCAGACTATGCCTATAGCAGCCACAAAGTCGCGAGGCTCCGCGAGCCACGAAACCTCTGAATGTGAGGAGCAGATTTTTCATGTTTTCAGTGTGAGGAGACTCCGCAGCTTCACTTCGACACAAGAATCCTTGAGTCCTAGAGACTCCTAGAATATGGAAAACTTCGCACTTCCAAGCCCAAGGCCGACGATCCCAGCCTTGCCGCCCCACTGGGCTTCGGCCTCCGTCCGGGCCTTGGCCCTCACCCTCAGCGCTTCGAGCGTCCCCGGACTTCGACTTAGGGCTGTGCTGCTTTTGGTGCCTTTGAGCTCATGGCTCAGTTTAAGGGACCCTCGCAGTAAGTATTGAAGCCGAGGTCGATCCCCCAAACTGCTGGCCACCTCCACTGCTGGACTCTTCCTCCTCGGAGGCGCATGGAATCCGTTTGCAGACAGTTGAATACCCCCGCATCAAGGCTTCCAGTGAGGACGGACGTTTATTCGCTCTTTCAGTGGCTGCCAACTTGTGCAGTTGGTTCCCTGTAATCGTTCATGATGCATCTGGACCAGCATCCCGCTTTGCATTCCGCGGGCCCAAGTTCTGCACTCCGTTTCGCTTCCGTGCAGTGCATGCCACAATGAATTTTCCCTTGAACGATGTGCGGTTAGTTTCCTTGTTTCATCAGGCCACCTGTGCGCCCCGGGGGAGAGTCTCTGCACTGCGGTTTTCAGCGATGCCCCTGAGTCGCAAAGAGTTCCCAAGACGACGCGACGCCTCAGTGACGGAGTCGTGTACAGCTTAGGTTTGGTTTAGTCCAGACGGTGGTGCTCATTGGCATTGCAAGACGAAGAGCTACGCAGCGGGATGGGACATGTCCACGGCTCAGTAGATGCTCGCGTGTTGCTGCTCCTCAAATGGCGTGCCGGCATGCTGTGGTTGCATGTGTGCACGCAGAGCTAGATTACAGTAAGAAGCATCCTGCTGGATTCCTGCAAATCTGAAGCACAGGTTTCAACTCCTCAGCTGGCATGGTGTCGGCATCCACTTCAGGGCAGTTGGTTCCTCAGCATCTGCTGTTTTGGTTCAAGCAGGCATACGGGACTTCTGCAAAGAGTGTGCCGCGAGCCAGGAGGTGACGCAGGACGACACCATCTACGTGTATGGGCACCTAGAGACCAGGGGGGGGTGTGGTGGGTAGACAATGCGGAAGTGTCGCATGCAGTGGACAATCAAGGCCGGGGTTTGTGTGTTAGATAGATGCTTGGTCGTTGTTGTCTTTGCCAGGGTCCGACAAGCTCTTCCGTTCTCCTCCCTTGCTGTAAAGCTCAACTCTGCGGCACACAGCGGTTTGTCAAGGCTTGGGGGCCAGATCCCGGGGACCGAGGAGCCTGGAGGGCAGCAAAAGGATCTGTAGGACTTCGCACGCAAACGCGCAAAGGTTTGGGGTTTCTGAAGTGCAGTGTTCCGTGTGGGTTCGTGCAGCAACAGGGAGCCAACTCGTGTCTTGATCCAGGAAGCTTCTGCTTTCGTTTACCAGTCATACATTGGAGCCTTGGTTGCAGATGGTGCAAGCTTTACGCATGGTGCTTGCAGTTGGTGTGTTGCACATATATCAATAACTCACTCTTCAGTGGCTTGGCACCTACCAGGTGTTGAAGACGTGTACCTGACGGACAGAGAGCACGCGACTTAATGGCCTCCGTGAAGCAGTGACGTGCTCCCATCGCTTTTGATCTTCTCGCACACTGAATCGACTGGAGGCCCTTCATGATCCTGCCCGGGTCCATCGAGATGGGGGAGCCCCCTGCGCAGGGGACTTGGCCTGCCAGCTTGCGAAGCTCCCTCCCCTCCTAGCCGGTCCTAGCCGTTTTCCCCAGTTGTCGATTGGCACATGCTTGATGAGTTGTACAACCCAGTTACAAGTTGTGCACAATCTTGCGATGAGGGCCAAAGCGAAAGGTGAACAGCAAGTGTCAGTCCATCCATACATGAGCTGGACAGTTCTTGGTACAATCGGACTTGGTGCCGACGCTGAGGCTTCCCACAGACGTCTTCCGACTCTTCTTCGGGGACTGCTTGTTGCTGATCGAAATACATCATACATCTGTAACCAAAGCTGTTGTCTTCGCAGTTTTCCAGCGCTTCCTTTCTTCGCAGCTGCATGTCAATGTTCATCGCTAGGCCCTAGTCAGCCTTCCATCGTGAAAGCCACAGCTCCGTGCAACCCACACCTTGCAAGACGATGGCCCTTGGTGGAAGCAGGGCTCCGACCTCAACCCACGAGAAACAGAATTCCGATCCAAATTGCCAGGAGGAGGTGAGGCCGCAGCCTGGGCGTCATGCGCGCTTCGTCGAGCTGCGTGCGGCCAGCATGTTACTCCTTGTCCCCAGGGCCCCACAGCTTTCGTCGCAGTTGTTCTGCATACACACGACGGATCCGAAAGCTTGTGTTTGAAGTTGCCTTGTCTCCAGCTGGCAACTACACATACGAGAATGACACGGAACTGGGAGAAGGCTCGGGTGCAGAGGCAGCCGCTTTTAGGCAGGAGCTTAGCTTGCACAAGCCGTTTGCAGGAATGGATGGCTCGGATGTCAGAGAAGCGACGATCTCCCCGAACGGGAAGGTGCTGCTGCTCGAACTAGGCGTAATGGAGGCTCCAGGTCAACTCGCCTGGTTGCCTGTGTCATCTGTCTGGCAACCGCTGGGCGCTCTGCCGAATGCAGACTTTTCTTATGCTGTGCAGGAGCTCGTCCTTCGGCCGCTCATGCCACTTCTTCAGGGACTTGTGCTGTTGACTTTGATGCGGGCTTCGTCCAGTCTGCGTGATTCGGAGAACTCTGAAAATCTCCTCAGAAGTCAGCAGGACGGCGCTACCAAGTTGAGATCGATGCCCACGTAGTCGAGGCCGGTTGGCGAAGCATCTGTCGCAACACGGTGCCATCCACGTGTGGCAACATACTAAGTTGCATGAAGGCAATCCACAGGAATGCACGTCCACTTGTTCGCGCAGTCGCTACGGTGCATGCAGGTATGCATGAAGAATCTCAAACCGATCTCAAAGGGTCCGAAGCACCTGGAATTCAGAACTTGCCAGGACCGGGCTGGAAACCATTTCCGTCATCTGGCCGGTCCGGGGCTTCAGGCCAGAATTAGACAATGCTCTGAAATAAAGCTTGGACAATGTGTTTCACCAACAAGCGCAGTGCGGTCCTTTTCCGTTGTCACTGTCTACGCCTCGCCACAGGTCCACATCCTCGAAGATCGAGAGGCTGCAAGTGAATAGGTCATGGACAGACTCGAAATATCATCTTCATCTGCATCGATCAATCTATGCGAGTGTCTTCGTCGTTTAGGACTGACAGGGTTGACCAGGTGCCGCGCCTCACGTCGATGATGCCCGGCAGTGGCTCGACAGGAGACTGAAAGCTCGTGATGCGGCACCTTGAACAAGACCTGAAGTCTGACGTGGCAAACCTTTCCATGACATCGCATTGCCGGGTGTGTTTCAAGAGGAGTCGAACCCTGGGCTGTGCTTACCTTGACCTTCAGCGAGGCCGCTGGATGTAGCCCAGAATAGGAAGTAAGGACACATATTGCGAGTCGGGCTGTCTGGACTCCAACGCATTGCAGGCTGTTGAGATTGGACACGGCAGCCTCCAGGTGGCGTGCACGCTTTAGCTGAAACACTTTGGTGGCTTTCCACCCTCTTTCGATGTCAGGTGATGCCCAGGATCGCTTACGGGGCCATGTTGGAGCTTCCGGTGTCTGAGGCAGTCCTAGTGCGCGAGAAGGCGCCGCTGCAGCATCGTCGCACGTCGGTTCCCAGCTTACTGCCGGCAGAAAGATGCGGCCAGGCAATCTTCAAGCTTCCGCCGGGACAGCGCTACACACCTGATATGGTCTGAAGCCGACTGCTTGCTGTCTCGCTGTCTCTTTGGTAAGAGTAAAGGGCGACGTGATGCAGAGCTCCACAACATGGAAGCCGAGCTCATGTGTTTACGATAATTCGTGGTTGGGTCCGCAGCCTCTCACACGCTTGCTATTGAGGAATATATGGTCTCCTTGCCTGCTGGGCTTCTCCGTGATCGATTGGGGAACGAGGCACCGTTCTTGTGATCTGGCACGTTCTGGGCTTTGACATGGACACGGCGAATGTCGTACGGGATTCAGACAGGTTGCAGCTACCACTGCTGGATCCTTTACCACGCTGAGCGGGCGAACGCCTGAGCTGTGTAGCAGAAACGGGATGAAGGAAGTTGAAGTGCCGTCGTGTTGCGAATTTTGCACCTCAGGGTGGTAACCACGAGCGATTACTTCGGTGCCGGCATGTGCGGACCCTGTAACCTGAGGAGTTGTTCTAGCCGAGTTCCTTAGACAGGTGAGTGATGTAGACATGCTATGTATGAGGCCTCGAATTCCGCCGGCCGACGAAGCTGTGGAGGACGGGCAGATCCTGAAAGCTGGATTGCAAAGTAACTCTGTGACTTCTGCTAGCATTCGCCAGGGCTTTCCGGACCTTCTGGCAACGTGGCCCTTCCAAGGTGCAACGGACGTGCGCCGCAGAGACATCCCAAACCGTGTGAGGATCAGGTAGTTCCGTGCACAATATGGTCTACGGATAGATCTGCTGTGTGGTTATATGTCTTGCTGGTTAAGTCTGCCGCTCAGGTACCTCCTCGAGTGAACATCGAAGTTTTCCTTTACTTCACAGCCCCTGTGGAGCTGCAACCTCGTAAACACTGCATACAGTGGATGTGGTCCATGGGTTTGCAGCCAGTACCCGATGAAAGAAACCTGACGTACACCTGTCGTGTTCTGAGGTGGACTTCGATGGGCCAAGTGCGCCTGCGCAACGAGACTGATGTGATGAGCCATGGCTGGAAAGACTACCTTCGCGGAGTTGACTTCGCCTGTTGCGACGGGCAGTAGTTCTGCTAGAGACTACCTATACGTGCATTAGGACGGGCCGTGCAACAATGTAGGACGGTCACGCAGCAAGGTGACCTCCTGACCCCTTGACCCGGTGCGAAAACCGAAACCTGAGATAAATCCGAGCCTGAGCCATCCTCATCTCCTTCGAAAGGGTGCCATATGTAGAGTTTTAGGGCCGCTAGTCTAGGGTGAATTAGGGGTTCCTTTTCATGGGTATGGTAAATGATTTTCGGGTTGTCGGCTAGGGTTTCAGAGTTCGGGGCTTGGGCTTCTTTGGACAAGTCAGGGTTTTGGGTCTAGGTCAGGGTGGGGGGTGGCTGGGGGTTTAAGGTGGTTCCTTTCAGGTTCTAGGCTTAGGGGCCAGGGTTTGAGGGTTCGGGGTTCAAAGGTTCCTCGGACAGGTCAAGGTTAGGGCTTTAGGCTTAGATGAGGGTCGGGGAGTCAGGGTTCAGGGCATGTAATTATCGGGTTATGGAGCTTCAAGCTGTGGGGCTTGAGGATTGAGGGTGGTGCCTTTAGATAGACCATTGTAGAAGGGGCAGTAAAAAAACTCCGCCTGGCAAGAGCAAAGCGCATTATAGATATCGGCAAGACTTTATAAACAAAATGCATAAGCAAAACAACGCGTTATAGAGGCTGATGACATGACACTAAAGACAGTGTCACATAAGCCGGGGAGTCCACAATGCTCTGAGGATGACGATTCCTACCAGCGAGTATGTGCCAGGGAGGCCCGAATCCGTCATGACTTGCTTGTGCCGCAAAAGCGGATTGCAGCTCTCCCATGTCCCCTGTTTCAGATCACTGTAGCCTAGCAACTGAAAAAGGACAGGCCCACGTATTTGCAGCTGGTCCAGAATTTCCCAACAAATGTGAGAGGCATGTGATCCTCAGTGATCTTCAATCCTTTGCAATTCTTAGAGCCAGGCCCGGACCCCTCGTTGTGCTTCCACAGCACCGCGCTGTGAAGGTCCGGGGCCCAAGACTTCCCATCGTTCCGGGGTCAAGCTGCATCTATGGCTTAACACACCGGCCCTAACTTGAAGCTCTTTACTTGCTTCTGCTTCTTTCTGTGTCCCCCGACCGTGCGAATTACGGTTCAGGTGAGACTGCCGACGCCTGGGCTTGGCACTCGGCAAGCTTTGGTCGTGAGCCGCTAGAGAACCCACGGGCACAGGCAATTAGTAAACTCGTGGTTCGCAAAGATTTAGCGCTTCAGGAGGGGTCTCGGAGTTTCAAGAGCCACCAGCTCAACTCAAGTCACGAGACAGAATCTCAGAAAGCTGAGTGTTGTTCTCCTACAGGGGCTTCCCGATGCTACGGCCTGGGCAGAGCTACACATTGATACTGGCACCTGGCTCGCTGCAGGAAGCCGGCACGAGAGATGCATTCTCCACATGTGGTTCTGTCGCTTGAGGGTCTTGTGCTTGACTTGTACTTGTACTCTCAAACTTGCTATTCTCTGTTGCAGCCTGAAGCGCAGGACATTGGTATGGGCAATACGAGCGAAGCCATCCGGGTGGAGTTCAAGTGTTTGCCTCTCGCCTACACATGGAAGCATGCTTCGCTGAGTGAATTTGGACCTTCTTACCTCCGTGCAAAGGCCCGGGAGGGAGATGACACAGCCGGAAATAATCGCTGATAGTCCCAACTAGACCTCTCTTGCCTTGCTTCATGCTCATATTGTGCATTCTGTTGCCGCAGGGAGATGCTGCAGGGCACAGCCAGTCCTCGCGCTGTGGCCGCCGACGTTGCGCAGGGCGAGACCCAGGCACCTCTTGGGCTCCAGGGGCACCGTTGGAGTTTGAGGCAGTTCACTAGCGGGAAGGACCACACCGCCAACACAGATACCATCACAATTCATGTTGCTATCTTTCTGACTAGTCCGAGCGCTGTGTTGTTATAAGGATGATCAACATCATGTCACCTTCCTCTCGATCTTGATATTCTCACCAAAAGGATTGCAATTTCTACTCTTATGATGCTGTGGCTGGCAACTTCGATGTCTTCGCAGGTGCCGGGATCGCGGCACATCTTCAGCGTATGGTACAGCGAGGCTGGTCAGGGCCTGGGCAGCACGACAGTCTGCATCAATTTATTCCGTGCTTCTCGCCATCACTCCTATCATTGCTGTTTTCTGGCCTCTTGCTGCTGCTCCCTCTCCTACTACGTTACTACTGCTACTGCTGCTGCTACTACTACTACTACTGCTGCTACTACTACTCCGACTCCTACTTCTACTACTACTTCTACTACTTCTGCTACTACTACTACTACCACTACCACTACTACCACTACCACTACTACTACTACTACTCCTGCTGCTGCTGCTACTACTACTACTACTACTACTACTACTACTACTACTACTACTACTACTACTATTGCAACTACGACTACGATTACAACTACAACAGCAACAACAACAACAGCACTACTACTACTACTACTACTACTACTACTACTACTACTACTACTACTACTACTACTACTACTACGACTACGACGACGACGACGACGACTACTACTACTACTACTACTACTACTACTACTACTACTACTACTACTACTACTACTGCTACTGCTACTGCTACTGCTACTGCTACTGCTGCTGCTGCTGCTGCTGCTGCTGCTACTGCTACTGCTACTGCTACTGCTACTGCTACTGCTCCTGCTGCTGCTGCTGCTGCTACTGCTACTGCTACTGCTAAAACTACTGCGACTCCGACGACGACTACTACTGCCACTGCGACTTTGGCTGCGACTCTGACTATGAGTATCACTATGCCTGACTGCTACTATGCGACTATATACTGGCTACCTCTACTTTTCACTGCCACTGTCACTTTGGTGCTATCATCATTTCTTGCAAAGGTTAAAGCCCTGAGCGTGGCAAGTGATGATGTTGCGGTCGTAAGTTGGCTCCGCGCTGGCTTTACCAGGACATCGTAAAGGCCATTGACCAGAAGCCAGCCGTCTCCTTGCAGCTTTCCGGAGGCCCTTGGATGGGAATGGTTGAGGGTTTAGGGACTAGGTATTCTGACGCTTTAAGCACAGTTACACGTCTTTTCGCGAAGATGGCAACCAATGGCAGCTGCAGTAAAAGTGTCTGTTCGCAACGAGTCTGAGTAGGATATGCATAAGATTTCAAAGAGTCATCATTTAGGACCCCGAGTTGAGAAATCCATGTCCCCCAGGTTGCGAAGTAGACATCGACGGTGTATCATGCATCATGCAAGCACGATCTGCAGAGCCAGTGTTTGAAAACGAAGGGCAACCTCGAACGTGCGTCACACGAGAACCTCAAAGCATGGAAGGTGGCCGGGCGGAGCTGCCGGGAGAGAGCCAGGAGGCTCTTAACACCCTTGCTGCGATGGGGCTCATGTGTTTGCAGTTTACAGTCCGGAGGGCTCTGCAGCTCGCTGCATAAGTGCGCAGGTGCAGATCCGGGGCAATCGTCTCACCATGACCTTCCCACCCCATGTGCGCAACCCGGTGGTCTGCTCACTCTCGCAGATCGCTGTTCTGCCTGAGCTGTCTGCTTGTCTGGTCCACTTGTGCAGCGACTGTCATGCAGGGTGGCGCAGAACAAAGGAGCTTGAGCAGGGCAGCATGTAGCAACCAGGTAACAGCGTTGCCACAATGTTCTCCACTCTTCTCTGTGTCTGCTCAGGTTGTTCTAAAGCAAGGATTTTGCTTGGGAATCTCTTTGTGATGCCGGGCATTTTCAAGCAGCCCATAATTGTCTCAGGCCTTTCCTTTAATCTCCGCGGCATGAATGCTGTGTTTGCAGTAGCAAGTACTGCATGCAAGCATGTGAAATGAGCCTGTTCCCACAGACAGCAGATCCCCTCGCGAATGCATCTCAGAAACTTGCCGGATGGGCTTTGTCATCTGTGTCGTTGCAGAGTAAGCCGTCATGTCGCAGCTTCGATTCTGTTTCAGATCTTGACCTAGGTCATGGCTTCCGGAGGGGCCGTCACCCTTCGCGTGCCCCGGTTCCTGTTCCTGGACTGTCTCAGCAGAAGCCAAGAGCTGCGTCAATCAGCTTCCTGGATTTCATGGTTTTACGAATGCACGGCTTCTGCGAGGACGCAACACGGCGGACAAACAACATCTTGGAGGCCCCCGTGTCCCGGCGTGGCATTGTACCGTCAAGTAACTTCGGGTAGACAGTAGCTCACTAGCCAAGCAACAGCGCCAATGATCTGATAGTCGCACTCAAACGGAAACACTGGTCTGAGACGACCATCTACATGCACCCAGCCGGGAGACGATTTCGCAAGTCAAAAGATGAGCTGCCGACAAGTCCTGCGCGCAGGGTGGCGGCAATCCCTCCTTGGAGGACGCTGGTTATGCACGGAAGTTCGGAGTTTCAGGGTCCAGGCGCCGGTTTCGGGTTGAAGTTTCGAAACGGCGCGGGGGAGTTTCGGAACTGCCGGAGCAGTTTCGGCTCGTGAAACATCATAGGGGCTGGGAGTGTTCACAGCAGCAGAGGCGATTTCGCCCGACCTGTTGTGGATCATCACAGATGCTAGGAGTGTTTACAGCAGCCTGGGCGGTTGCCGTCATCGCGAAAAGTCATCGTAGCTGTTGTTCACAGCAAAGGACAAAGGACACGAAACTGTTCAAACTGCTGTGAAAGCCTCGAACGGGCTTGAAACATTCGCTGCGGCACATAGGCGGCGACTCGGCGACCCTCCTGGCATAAAGGTGCTTTGATTTTTCCGCATCCGACGGCACCGGCCCCACCTCCACAATTGCTTCGGTTGAGAAGCTGTTTCAGCCGCATCAGGAGTAAATTGCAAACAGAAGAATGACGGCCACGGGGTTGGGCAAAACAACATTCCATATTCACCTTCTCACGCCAAGCGCACGTTGCGGCAGCCTGTTCGCGCTTTGTTCCAGAGCTGTTGCCAGCAGCTCGCTTTGCACTAATGAGATGTTGGCGTGTAGCTGCTTACTTGATTCCGAGTGTTTTCGAGGCTTTCCGGCTACAATTTCACACCCCATACTGGCGCAGAGATCTCAGGCTTACGAGCGCTCGAAGTTGAATCTCAGGCGGAGTTGGCGATTACATTCTTCGTCGAGCCAGAGGCATCGGATCGGTGAGGAGCCCTGTTTGAAGATCCCAGACTAGTCAGCGAAGCTTTCCGGACGTGTCTGGCACAAACAATGAGAAGTTCCATCCGTAAGAGTAGTGGTAGCAGCACCGCACCTTCTCGTATGAGAAACACGAGAAACGAGTAGTGAGAATAGCATGAGCGTACAGTGTACAGACCCAGAATCAATTTTGAAAGTCCGAACACCTATACTTGCTGTGCCAAGGCCAAGCCTAAACTTGACTTATTGCCGGCCCGCAAACGAAGAGGACTGCCATGACACTGCTTGCCGTGTAAGCTTGTCGCGGAAAAGAGGTCGCAGAAAGTTCGTTTTACCTGAAACTTGACTTCGCATGCCCAAACAAAGAACTGTGATATCTTGCCACCATCAATTACCGCAAAGGCCGCCCTCTGCTCGTTTCTGCAGCCGGCAGGACCTGGACGCGCCGTTGCACGAGTTTCCAGCGGTGGGGAGCGTCCTCCTCGCATTCAACGAGCCTGCAACCGTCTCAGTGGTTTAGGGTGCGCTAAGGGGGTCACACGTTGACATCTAGCGGCATGGCGGCGGGCCTGCATGTTTTAGGGCATACACGGCAAGTGCTGTAAATTACATGACTTCGTGTGTGTGGCTGTGGCAATGGAGGGAGTCGTGCTTCAGAAAATCCAGGAACTAAGGCTTAGGGCACTCATTTTAGCACACGTTCCCCACGTCATCCGTGACATCCGCTTTGGGATCCTACTGCAAGTGCCAGACCCAGCTGCAGACGTACTCAATGAGACGCACGTTGCACAAAGATACGGAATCGCTGTAAATAGCAGGGTTTTGGGCATGCTAGCAACATGGCAAGAACACTTGTGACAGCGACTCGTGTTGCTGAACATCATTCATCCTCCTGCAACATGTTGTGACAAGAAGCAAAGATGCTGCAAATAGCAGGAGTTTGGGCATGTTCGCAGACGTCATGAACACTTGTGACCGCGCCTCGTGTTGCTGCACATGAAACATCCTCCAGAACATTTTGTATAAACAGGCAAAGCCGCCGTAAATATTGGGGTTTTGGGTTGGTTTGTGTGTGGAACATGGTCGTAACCATCCCCCTCCCCCCAACCCCCCCCTCACCCCCCCAACCCCCTTTGCCCTGAAAGAGACATCACCGAAAGGTAGCAGAATCCTAGTAAAGGTACACGGCCAGATACGCGCGTGTGTGGGCTTAGGGTTTTTTCGCGCAGAGTACACTCGCCAAGGTGACCGGTGGACCCGGGAACGTGACCTTCGTACCCAGGCTTTGGTGGATGCAGCTGCGTGGGTTGCAGTGCAGCAACTCTTTTGGCAGGTCCTTCATGTCGCCAACAATCGACGTGCCCGGTGTGGCGGCGACCACGGCAGGCACTGTCGCAGGATACTCGCCTACGTTCTCCAGGGACTAAGTGAGGATAAGCTGCATCAGAAGCCTTGTCGACATGACCTTGTTGCAGGCAGCTATGCGCTGCTGTCACCTCAAGGCCTGCTGCCTGGCGAGGCCATCGGAGATGCAGTACCAAGGAAACCTGTCTTGCGCACACCCGCCGTGCGAAGTTCCAGGTTTCGATCCAGCTCGGTTGTGGAGTGAGGATTCTAGCATTCTGACCCACCGGAGGTCTACAACGTGACTGTTGCGGAAGACGCTTTCCTGGACCTCGATGGGTACATGCTCGAGCCGATCGACGAGCAGTGCCGTCCCCATCAACTGCTCGAGCGTTGCAGACATGTTTCTTTCGGTGCCGGCTTGAAAGCCAGCTGCACAACATGGATGCTCTGAGGTATGTCATTTCTACGATGCCAGAGCTCAGGCCGAGAAGCAATGCCTGTCATGTCTTGTCATGCTGCAGAGTGGAGAGAAATCGAGACCGTTTCCACATCATTCGCTCAATGAGCTTGGCGCTGGCCGGTGTCAGATCTCATCTCGTTAGCATGCATGCCAATACAGCCTCTAAGCGTTCCAACCGCGACTGTTTGATGCCACAGCTTGCACCAGGTTCTTCCAACTTGGTGATCAGTGCCCCTGCCATGTTTAGAACGGTTTGCCGCTTAAGGCCAGCAGTTCACTCGGACTGTCTCACCCGCCAGGAACTGGGTTGATTCGGCATCAGTGGTGCAGCGCCCGGATGTGCTTGGATGCTGGAAGGACTAGCCGGCGGGTGTCGCTCGTGCTGCACACCTCAGGCACCTGGTGGGCGCATGGCACCTGCGGCCACCGTGGACTCTGCCAACCGCGTGGTGGTGATTGGTGGTGCCCTGGATAGAATTTTACTACCTAATAAGAGCCAACTCGAGCGGCCACGTGGATCACTTCGAGATCGCAAACCGTAGAATGGTAAGACATGACAAGACTAGTCTGTATGGGTTGAGGCAGAATGGATCCCTCAATCAAAGCTTCTGGGTAACTCTCCAACAGCATCTTCCACACCCGAGAACACAAAGCCGACTGGCCCCACACTTCACTCAGCATCGAGGGCGCAGTGGTCGGACCTCTGCTATTGAGGCGGACACGGGACTGTTTGGACTTGCGGGTGTAGCATGTGTCGCCTGCGCTGTTACTACTTCATTTTTTCTGTATGCGCAGGGCAGAGACATCCTTACGGTCCTTATCCTAGGAGAATAAAGCAAGATTTGCTTGTCGACGAAGTGCAGGGCCGTGACATGAACGACGTGTGGGCTTTGCCCACGCACAAAGAGGCGGGGCGCTGCCGTGAGAAGGGTTTTGCCAGAAAACCTGTCTATGTGATACAGAATTGGGCAGCGTCGGGCCGACAGTATAGCCAACAGGTGCATAATCATGGCGACGAGGCTTACACGTTTCGGGGGTCTTCGGAGCCGTGCTTGTGCATGTTTGAATCCTTGTTTTGCTGCGGGAGTTCTGTGCTGCCGCGTTTGTGCTTGATCCTTCACGTGCTCAAAGTCTTCACATTGCAATAGTACGTATCATTTGGAAGGGCAAGGGGTCGTTAACCGTTAGCCCACTACAGTTCAAAACAGGCCAGTATGTAGCAACTCGAAGCAATCCTGCGCAGATGCATTCGAAGATTGTGCGAGGTGAACTGCGCCTCGGCCTATGAAGGCGAGACGAGCTGCTCTCTGGAGGGATGCGAGCCTGACGAGATGGGAAGGCCAGTGCTTGCACATGCAAGGCTTCCGGGTTTCAGGGTCTCACGACGACGCAGTGGTCATCGTAGGAATGATGTGACATCGGTGTCCAAACAAACGGAGTTTGCATCCCCCGGCCTCACGATAAACAAACCAAGATCCCTCGCCCGCATGAACATAACACCGCAGACAACCTGTGTTCAGCCTTACATTTGTGGCTTTGCCACTCGCCGCGCTTGTGCATCGCAGCATCTCGCTTTTTTGGAGGTATTTCTTGGGAGATCAGACTACACGTCGCTTCGTCTGGAGGCGGAAAAGCAGAGTCCTAAGCGGGAAGGTCTCTGGAAAACCCACCAGCTTATCGAATTGAGCGCAACTTTGCTGGGAATGTCATGTCGTGACTGAGGTGCCAGTGGCGGCGATTGTATAGCTGCCAGCGGGGAAACGAGGACGGTCATTGTTGACCTGCTCTGATTGTGTCTGACTCATTCTGACCCTTGTGATGGCCTCTAGGAAGACTGTTGCCCTAGTGACTATCACACGTGCCTCCGCACCCGAACAGCCCAAATAATTGTAGGCCGCTTTGCATCAACTTAAACAATCAGGAGCCAGCTGGGCGAGGAGATCGCGCGAAAGACGGAGCAATGTCCCAGCCCTACATACTGGCACCTTCAAAAGGCAAAACAGCAGCACAACCATCCTCAAGCATCTTGCATTGCAGTCAAGAGTGGCACTCACAGCCTCCCCTTCTGACTGGTCTCTGCTTCGTGTGGATCCCGTGAATCTCTCGCAAGGCAATTGTCCGACATGTACGTCGCCTCCTGGTCCTCCAAATGGGCCTCCATTACCGAGTGACATGCTGAACGAGCCGCTGCCCCGGCATCCCGACATAGAAACGAGCCCACTACAAAGCCAGCGGCCAAGGTTTTACGTGCAGGACTACACCTTGGTGCCCTCAGATGACACTCGGCCCCTCCTGTGCGCAAGCGGGATGACACCGACAGGCACATGCACAGTGCAGTCCCTGACGAAGCTTGATATCTCTGCTTTCTTTAACGGTCTGCCCTCACCGTGTCTGAGAAGTGGAACTAGCAATCACAAAGAGACGTGATATTGTCTCTGCAGAGGCAACTTCAGTTGCAGCCTCAGACCCCAAGGCTGCTCCAGAACGTCAGCGTGCGGGCAGCAAGAGGGCAGTTCGGCCATCTGAGGTTGTAAGCTGTTCGACAGATACTTCGCAGTGTTCGCCAGTGCCTGATCTTTCTGTGCGCAATGCAAGATAGTGCCGTGCAAGCTTGTTTTTTGGTCAACCCTTTCATTGGACCTTCCTTCATCTTGCTATGATGCCCACAGGAGACTCCGTATCCTTCTTGCGAGAACTCCACATGCAAGGCCTGCAGTGACGCATGGTGGATGCGGTGCATGTCCCCGTTTCAGCACCAAGATGCACCAAGTGATGTCATTTACACACATGTAACATGGAACCCGTCAACCTATTTGAAGGGAGTTGCTGCGGTCAATGAAAAGGGTTTGCAAATCCTGTGAACCCTCGCAAAGTGCCTCACAGCCGAGAAGGACTTGGAAGTGCAAAGCCGCCGGCCCCAAGCCTCAGGCAAGACGAACAACATCAGCACCGACACGTCAGAAGCCGGTCATGTAGGTCATCAGGTAGGAATCAGCCACATGCGCCAAGACGTCTGGTGGACAATCCTAGACACCTTGCAGGTACGAACGTAAGGCACAGCAAGCAACACGACGACAAGAAAAGTCACAACTCGTTCACCCTCTCCTGTCTTCAAAATTCGGTGCTATCGGTTTTCAGCGCAGGCGCCTCCTGACGTTCAGAGCCTGGAGAACTTCGCAGTCTGGGATTGGAACTCGTCGGCGCCTTTCCTGTGCTTCACGTGTTGGCCACTTCACACTCGCACTCTCGACATGTTGCCTCCTGCACCTTCCTGACGCGGTGAGTTTTAAGGTCGGCAGATGGTCAATACTGTTCCACACTTATGAGCCGCATCATGTCGGCGGCATCCCCTCTAGATTTCGTTGCCAATCGAGACCAAAGCGAGTCCACAGGTCCCAACATTTCAGCGAGCAAGCCCGCGTCTTAGCATCACACTGTTTACTGTCTGAGGAAGCTCTCTGAGTTCAGAGGGCTGTTGTTGAGCATACAGTTCTTCTTAGTCTCGCCGGCACAGGGATTCTCCATGTTGCGTGCGGTCTGCAGCTGATGTACAGCTTCGCCCGGTGAGTAGCAGCAATATGAGAAGTTGCGAGTGCTGCGCTGAATCAGTCCGTTGCCACACGGCGGCATCTGCGCTGTGCTCTGTGCTCCTGGATTCAAGGCTGCGGGCTCGGTAGAGCCAGAGAGAAGTCCGCTGGGTTCAGTGGGAGAGCACAGCTTGTGCAGTCGCTGTAGCAATGACGATTTGTATCCCACATCCTGGAGCCACGGTCCTGACGAACCGTTTTGCTAATGGACTGTGCTGGCACTGTCCAGCAGAACTTATGTGCCGTTGGTTTCGTGCAGTCTAAGCCTAAGCTCTAAGGCGGAGCTAGCTCCTTCTTGATGGCTGATCTCAGATATGTCTATCATGCCCTCGTCACTGGTAGACTGGTACTGTGGTTCCCGAAACATAGCTTCTTCCCTAGCGGAGAGCGCCTAGCTTGCAGGAACATAAGTGGCAACAGCTTGATGAAACACGATTTGGCTGACCGATTCTTTTTGATATCCTGGCAGGTTGACAATGTCTACCGCTGCGAGCAAGGGCAGTTCGTGGCGCTCCGGCTTCTCTTGAATGGTCGTTTATTGGAGTTGACGTCTTTTGCCGCCTCTTTGCGAATGCAGTGACAACATAAAGCGGATGCAACTTGGAGAACCTTGCAAAGAAGATTGACACTTACTGCTTTGATTTTCCTACAGTCTAACGTGCTGCAACTGCTCCGCGAAAGATGTCGGACCATACGACTCGGCTGTTGGCAACCTGCGTCCAGATTGCAGCTGATTGGCTGTGGCATGGCTGAGGCTCCCCAGTGCCAGAGGCTGGAGTGCAGCGAACCGTGAGATTCTCAGCTTCGAAGGACGTCGTACTGCAGAGCGCGCACACTCATACTCGATAATATGCTTGTGCGTGGCTCCACCTTGCATGAGTCGAGAGTGGATCTTGACGAGTGCTTCGCAGAGATGTCGCAAGGTCGGGGTTGAACCAGGGACGCCACCGCCCTAGATCCATTCTTTGCTATGTGTAGTGTACTGTAGTGTCTTTTCATCTGGTCAAAACCTCGATGCCGCAGAGCACTCCTCCTGGGGCAGTGCCACTGCCAGCTGTGACCTTGCAGGTCTTGTCTGTCAAAACGACGAGAACAGACCAGTCTTCGGTGCTGCCTGAGCCCAAGAGTCCAAGTCCGGCTTGCACTCGCAGAAGGCCTCTTGGAGGAAGGCAGACTTCGGTGTAAGGTTTGCGACCTTTTATGTCCGCCTGGCTATGTGCCGTCCAACTTCGTGGCCACGTGCACCACTGACCTCATACAGCCTGAGGCTCGCTGTGTGTCCCATGAAGTAAAAGCCTGGCCGTCTCGTGTCTCCATGGGCAGGCACAGCCAATCTTTACTCCACGCGTGGAGTGTGCGTTGAGATCTCAGCAGGGCACGAACGAAACTGAGACTCATTGTTCACACTGGCTCGCTGAGGCCCAGCCTTTGCGGTGATTATCCCTTCATCGCCGATGCAGACGAAAACTCCGGAATGGCCTATGCCGTTGTCGAGTATGCCAGCGACAGCCGGGCAGAGTCCCCGGTGTGCTCAAGATCGCCCTTTTTGCAAGAATTAGAAGTTAACTCGTTCTGTTTCCGAGGAGATCGAGGCCATGGCAACCTTAACGTGCTTGTCCGGGGCCTCAGTCATCAAGGAAGCAATACGAGCCTCGAAATCGACTTCTTTTCAGCTTTGTCGGAATCTCAGGGAAGGCTACTCTCCGGGTGGGTCTGCCTTCGGCCTCTCCGGCAGCCTGGAGTTGAGGCAAGACGCGCGCGAGACAGATCTGCTGCGCTCGTCGACTTGTCGAGGGGCTGATGGGATCATAAACTTCCTGACTTGGAAGGTGCGGTCCTATCGTGAACAAGGAGAACGAGCCAGATGTGGAGTGGAAGCTGGAATATACTGGAGCAGTGCACTCGGAATGCTAAATTACTGGTTGTCGTCTGTGTTAGAGCCTCATCAGAAAATTACATGGATGTGGCAGTCTTAGCAGCGCTCAGTTTGAGACTACCCCGTGCACTAGTGCCCAGCTTGCCAAGGTTCCTCTCAAGAAGAGATAGTGATTACAAATGTCTTTCTCACGTTCGTAGTCGCAGAGCTACACTGCCTTCTGTGCTTGTGTGCGGCGTTTTGTGCCGACCCGAGAACTCCATGTCATGCCGCACAGTTGTGACGCCGTACGTGCGATTCTGTACACGCTGCATGCCTCCGACACGATGTCTGTGGGTGCAGAAAGGGTTTTATCAGGAGTTTTCCTCTCAGCATACAAGAGAGAGTCATAGCCCCCAAGCAGGAACAAACATGCTTTTACCCCGTGTTTTGCGGGTTGTTTTGCGAGGCCCGAGCCGGCCGCATCTGCGCTCCTGACGGCCTGGCGGTCTATGACACGGCCGGCCTCCAAGCGAGAAGTCGGGAACACCTCTTAGCGAAGTTAGCGGCCGTTAAGTGAGGGTTCCCGAGGTCGTCCTCCTGGGCAACATTACCATGACGCCAGCCACTTACAAGCCACTCTCAGCAACCCCCCTTGTCGGAGCCTTCAGCGAAGCTAAGGATGAACCTGCCAGCCGATCTGACAAAGGCCGAGTGGAGGGTGATGACTACATGCGCGACGACCAAGACCAAAATCCGCCCTGAAGATGTCTCCTTCGGTCTTCCATGCGTCCCTGTTGTTGCTTCAGTGGTTTCTCTGCACAGGATCAGCTGTGCACCACCTTCAAGGATCGTTTCCTTGGCGACATCCGCCTGGCACTGGTTCCGCCCCCAAGACATTCAGGAGCGAGAGCCGACGTTCGCGATCAAGGTTGTAGCCAAGCAAAGGCCTCGAACAGTGAACGTACAACCGCCCTGAAGCCACTGGCAACTTTCAACTACGGCACACAAAGCCGAAGCCAGCAGTGATGCGAAGACGATGTCTCCCGAAGCAGATCAAGCTGTTGCTGCTGCGCATATGGTAGATATTTAGGGGCTGCGCCCAGGTGCGGGCAGCGCGAGCTGTTGTCAGAAACCCGCGGTATATAGATAAGTGCAACGTAGGCCCGAAGTGCGCAACTTGTGGGTGATCGTAGGCTCTCAGCCCCCGTCGGCCCTGCATGTAGCCCGCACCCCCCGTCCGCCGGACCCCGCTGATGCTCATGATGCGCGCCCTTTGGCGGCTTCCGCAACCCATTCAAAAAATTGGGAGTTATGACTTCGCGCCCACGTCGCGCCGCCGGCGCCGGTTGCGGGCGCCCGAGGGCTCATGATGCTCGCCGGCTCGCCTCCTGGGGTCGTCCACGGCGGCCCCGAAACCCGCCACACTGCGGGGAATGGCTGTAAAACGCGTGCGCATTCCGAGACGCCTTCGGGCCAGGCCCCGCGCGGCCCGAGGGAGAAACGAGGGTCCGATGATGCGGGGTCCGGGGCGGGTCGGCGGCACTGTCGGTCGTGGCGTCTGCTTCGCAGACGAAGCTCATTCGTCTGAGCCATAGCTCAGTCCATACAGGGCAGCGAAGCGCTGCCCGATTTATGGGCTGCCGCCACTGCCGCCGACCCCAAAAGAAGAGAGGTGACTATCCAAGGAACGCAGCAGGTGTTGAAAGCAGCCACTGCAAGTCTTGTAACTGGCACGAGTAGCATGAGCACATGACTGATGCGGCGAAGTATTCGGACTGACGCAGTGCTCAGCTCTCGGACATTGTGTGCGCATGTTTCAGCAACCTTGTGACTCAGAGGCAAAAGGCATCCGCACAAAACCGAGTTTAGCAGGAGGGCTGTATTCGATATGCTTAAGATACGGAACCAGTGCAGTTGTGGCCATGGGATGGTACGACAAAAAAAGTCGCGCGCGCGGCGGCGCATCGCAAAGCCGGGGCGGGCAGTGAGGACAATAAAGGTAGTGAGGGCGGTGGGGGCGGTGTTGGCGGTGGGGGCGATCGGGGTGGTGGGGGCGGTGTGGGCGTAGGCGGTGGGGGCGGTGTGGCGGGCGGTGTGGGCGGTGGGGGCGGTGGGGGCGGTTGGGCGGTGTGGGCGGTGGGGGCGGTGGGGGCGGTGTGGGCGGTGTGGGCGGTGGGGGCGGTGGGGGCGGTGTGGGCGCGGGGGGGTCCGGGTTGGCAGCCTTTAAATACTCTTTACTCTTTAAACACCTACAAATACAGCGGGCGGTGAGAGCGGTGGAGACGGTGTGGGCGCGGGGGGGTCCGGGCACACATTGGCAGCCTTTAATTACTCTTTAATCTTTAAACACCTACAAATACAGCGGGCGGTGAGAGCGGTGGAGACGGTGAAAGCGGTGGAGGGGGATGAAGGTGGTGGGGGTGGTGAGGGCGGTGAGGGCGGTGTGGGCGGTGGGGGCGGTCGGTGTGGGCGGTGGGGGCGGTGGGGGCGGTGTGGGCGCGGGGGGGTCCGGGCACACATTGGCAGCCTTTAATACTCTTTACTCTTTAAACACCTACAAATACAGCGGGCGGTGAGAGCGGTGGAGACGGTGGGAACGGTGAAAGCGGTGGAGGGGGATGAAGGTGGTGGGGGTGGTGAGGGCGGTGAGGGCGGTGTGGGCGGTGTGTGGGCGGTGTGGGCGGTGTGGGCGGTGGGGGCGGTGGGGGCGGTGGGGGCGGTGTGGGCGCGGGGGGGTCCGGGCACACATTGGCAGCCTTTAAATACTCTTTACTTTTTAAACACCTACAAATACAGCGGGCGGTCAGAGCGGTGGAGACGGTGGGAACGGTGAAAGCGGTGGAGGGGGATGAAGGTGGTGTGGTTGGTGAGGGCGGTGAGGGCGGTGTGGGTGGTGGGGGCGGTGTGGGCGGTGTGGGCGGTGTGGGCGGTGGGGGCGGTGGGGGCGGTGTGGGCGCGGGGGTCCGGGCACACATTGGCAGCCTTTAAATACTCTTTACTCTTTAAACACCTACAAATACAGCGGGCGGTGAGAGCGGTGGAGACGGTGGGAACGGTGAAAGCGGTGGAGGGGGATGAAGGTGGTGGGGGTGGTGAGGGCGGTGAGGGCGGTGTGGGCGGTGGGGGCGGTGTGGGCGGTGGGGGCGGTGTGGGCGCGGGGGGGTCCGGGCACACATTGGCAGCCTTTAAATACTCTTTACTCTTTAAACACCTACATAAACAGCGGGCGGTGAGAGCGGTGGAGACGGTGGGAACGGTGAAAGCGGTGGAGGGGGATGAAGGTGGTGGGGGTGGTGAGGGCGGTGTGGGCGGTGGGGGCGGTGTGGGCGGTGTGGGCGCGGAGGGGTCCGGGCACACATTGGCAGCCTTTAAATACTCTTTACTCTTTAAACACCTACAAATACAGCGGGCGGTGAGAGGGGTGGAGGCGGTGGGAACGGTGAAAGCGGTGGAGGGGGATGAAGGTGGTGGGGGTGGTGACGGCGGTGAGGGCGGTGTGGGCGGTGGGGGCGGTGTGGGCGGTGGGGGCGCGGGGGGGTCCGGGCACACATCGGCAGCCTTTAAATACTCTTTTTAAACACCTACAAAAACAGCGGGCGGTGAGAGCGGTGGAGACGGTGGGAACGGTGAAAGCGGTGGAGGGGGATGAAGGTGGTGGGGGTGGTGAGGGCGGTGGGGGCGGTGTGGGCAGTGGGGGCGGTGGGGGCGCGGGGAGGTCCGGGCACACATCGGCAGCTTTTAAATACTCTTTACTCTTTAAACACCTACGAGAGCGGTGGAGACGGTGGCAACGGTGAAAGCGGTGGAGGGGGATGAAGGTGGTGGGGGTGGTGAGGGCGGTGAGGGCGGTGTGGGCGGTGGGGGCGGTGTGGGCGCGCACAGGCAGCCTTTAAATATTTTTTACTCTTTAAACACCTACAAATACAGCGGGCGGTGAGAGCGGTGGAGACGGTGGGAACGGTGAAAGCGGTGGAGGGGGTGGTGGGGGTGGTGAGGGCGGTGAGGGCGGTGTGGGCGGTGGGGGCGGTGTGGGCGGTGTGGGTGGGCGGTGCGGACGGTGGGGGCGCGGGGGGGTCCGGGCACACATTGGCAGGCTTTAAATACTCTTTACTCTTTAAACACCTACAAATACAGCAGGCGGTGAGAGCGGTGGAGACGGTGGGAACGGTGAAAGCGGTGGAGGGGGATGAAGGTGGTGGGGGTGGTGAGGGCGGTGAGGGCGGTGTGGGCGGTGGGGGCGGTGTGGGCGGTGGGGGCGCGGGGGGGTCCGGGCACACATTGAGCGGTGGAGGGGGATGAAGGTGGTGGGGGTGGTGAGGGCGGTGAAGGCGGTGTGGGCGGTGGGGGCGGTGTGGGCGGTGGGGACGGTGTGGGCGGTGTGGGCGGTGTGGGCGCGGGGGGGTCCGGGCACAGATTGGCAGCCTTTAAATACTCTTTACTCTTTAAACACCTACAAATACAGCGGGCGGTGAGAGCGGTGGAGACGGTGGGAACGGTGAAAGCGGTGGAGGGGGATGAAGGTGGTGGGGGTGGTGAGGGCGGTGAGGGCGGTGTGGGCGGTGGGGGCGGTGTGGTGGTGTGGGCGGTGTGGGCGGTGTGGGCGGTGTGGGCGCGGGGGGGTCCGGGCACACATTGGCAGCCTTTAAATACTCTTTACTCTTTAAACACCTACATATACAGCGGGCGGTGAGAGCGGTGGAGACGGTGGGAACGGTGAAAGCGGTGGAGGGGGATGAAGGTGGTGGGGGTGGTGAGGGCGGTGAGGGCGGTGTGGGCGGTGGGGGCGGTGTGGGCGGTGGGGGCGCGGGGGGGTCCGGGCACACATTGGCAGCCTTTAAATACTCTTTACTCTTTAAACACCTACAAATACAGCGGGCAGTGAGAGCTGTGGAGACGGTGGGAACGGTGAAAGCGGTGGAGGGGGATGAAGGTGGTGGGGGTGGTGAGGGCGGTGAAGGCGGTGTGGGCGGTGGGGGCGGTGTGGGCGGTGGGGACGGTGTGGGCGGTGTGGGCGGTGTGGGCGCGGGGGGGTCCGGGCACACATTGGCAGCCTTTAAATACTCTTTACTCTTTAAACACCTACAAGTACAGCGGGCGGTGAGAGCGGTGGAGACGGTGGGAACGGTGAAAGCGGTGGAGGGGGATGAAGGTGGTGGGGGTGGTGAGGGCGGTGAGGGCGGTGTGGGCGGTGGGGGCGGTGTGGGCGGTGTGGGCGGTGGGGGTGCGGGGTGGTCCGGGCACACATCGGCAGGCTTTAAATACTCTTTACTCTTTAAACACCTACAAATACAGCGGGCGGTGAGAGCGGTGGAGACGGTGGGAACGGTGAAAGCGGTGGAGGGGGATGAAGGTGGTGGGGGTGGTGAGGGCGGTGAGGGCGGTGTGGGCGGTGGGGGCGGGTGGTGGTGTGGGCGGTGTGGGCGGTGTGGGCGGTGTGGGCGCGGGGGGGTCCGGGCACACATTGGCAGCCTTTAAATACTCTTTACTCTTTAAACACCTACATATACAGCGGGCGGTGAGAGCGGTGGAGACGGTGGGAACGGTGAAAGCGGTGGAGGGGGATGAAGGTGGTGGGGGTGGTGAGGGCGGTGAGGGCGGTGTGGGCGGTGGGGGCGGTGTGGGCGGTGGGGGCGCGGGGGGGTCCGGGCACACATTGGCAGCCTTTAAATACTTTGTAAAAGTAAGGGCGGCGGTGGCGGTAGGGGCGGTGTGGGCGCGGAGGGGTCTGGGCACACATTGGCAGCCTTTAAATACTCTTATTTTTTTTTTGACACCTACAAATACAGCGGTGAGGGACTCTTTAAACAGGGCGGTGGTGGAGGTTGTGAGGGCGGTGAGGACGGTGGGGGCAGTGGGGGCGCGGAGAGGTCCGGGCACACATTGGCAGCCTTTACATACTCTTTAAACACCTACAACTACAGCGGAGAAAGACTCTCTGAACAGAGCGGTGGAGGCGGTGGAAGGTGTGGGTGCGGACACCTCTCGGGATATCACGGGCGCCGCCCGCAGGGGTCGGCGGATAGTAGGCCTGAGTTTTCTCTGAATGTTTCACAGCTATGAGGTCATGGGACTGTCTTCCGCAGGGCAGGCTTTCTGGAATCGCTGCATTTCCGACATCACTTGACCATTGCAGCCAATCTGGCCTCACGACATCAAGACTCTGCCTGCAGGTTCCACTCACTGCAGCATCCGTCGCGACCCCAGATGGCCTCCTGGGCCTGGGAGTCTGGGAGCCTTGCTGACGGACCCTCAGGGCAGCACGAGGTTCTAAGGCTTCTCCAGACTTTTCTGGAATCTGCAGGTTTTGAACGTGGAGGTTTCGGCTTGCGAGTCATCTTTGCGTTTGCGAAGACGACTGGCTGCGGTCGCGTCTCGGAAGCAAGGAGACACACCTGATCACGGTTGCTGGAATGGGACTGTGCTGGTCTTGTCAAAGGCTGAAGGTTTGGAATTTGGCACCGAGGCAACAGCCGTCAGCTTTGCGGTAAAGGCAGGAAGTTCCCGTGCAAAACAAGCCTCGCGAGTAAACTTCAGGTTCAGGTTTGGCAATGTCCAAGTAGTAGAGTGGTTGCTGTAGCTGCAGCCCAGCGAGCTGTGTGAGGGCGAGTTCACCAATTCAATACAATCCCGGACCCTGCGAATACTCCGATACCGCTGAAGCCTGAATGGTAGCAGCCATGGTTACTCGGACGCATGGACGGTTTTAACCAAATCCCCACGTGCGATGGCGCATTTCTCGAGCCTCCGAACCAGCTGGATTTTGAGCCCTCTGCCCGCCCCAAGCTAAGTTCAGATTAGTTCAGATGGAATATCGGAATATCGCGAGCCCGGTACCTGCCACGCTCGAGAGCACATCATGGCTGACCAGGTGGAGAACGACGCAGAAGCGCTGCAGCTTCAATCCACAGTTACGGAGCAGGATGCCAGCCTGGCGCTGAGTCGGGCTTTTCCAAAGCATCTAAGTTAAATCGGTACCATGAAAAGCAGAGGTTAGCAGAATGGAACAGCTTAAATTTGCAGAATCAGCAGTCCTGATTACTATCTTCCCACCCACTGCGCAATTTTGTGGGGGCTGGCTTTGAGCTGTAAGCCACTCTCACCGAGGCAGCGTTTTTGACCGAGTCTTTTCGCTGGCCTTGCTGTCTTCTTCGGGTGTCGAAGTCGCAGGCAGGCAACAGCACGCAGATTCATGTGTAGGAGCATCTGCGACGTTCTGGCAGATGTCAACAGTGCCATGGAGCATTTGTGGCTCCATGAGCGTATACCCCAGCGGAACTATTGCCACAACTTCTTGCATGCCAGGGGCAGCAGTTGATCTTATCGTGTCCTCCGGTCTCCGGTGTGCCAGACCTTGGGAAGACCCGCATGATCCGTGACATCCTGTACATCATTGACGAGTCCGGGCCTGATAGATCACCTCTTGGACTTAGCTGTACCTTGCTTTAGGAGCATCGGAGCAACCCTTCAGATTGATTGCCTTATCTGGCTGCTTGCTGCAAAGAACCCCCTGATACCCGACGGCCGACGCACGGTGGAATGCCCCTGCATCGTCGTCGCGAGGCCGGATGGAACGCAGGTCTCAGTGGCTGCAGCCTTGGTGAGCATGCACCCGCATGTCCGCAATCCGCAACCACTGAAGCTGGTCTCTGGGAGCATACTCTCAGTAGTTTTGGCACAAGGTGGATCAGGCGTTGGATCAGTGATTCATCCGAAAGTACAATTGAGCAGAGCCCGTACAAACGAACGTATTGGCGGTTAAGGCCAGGAAAAGGCTTGTCTGAACCATGACCCGTCCGATTGCTCCCGTGGCAAGGTGAGGGACAACAGCAGGAACCTCAGCCATCATGTGCAACGGCAGAAAAGCTCAGACAAAGCTATCCATGTCTAGTGACTCTGTCACCACTTCTCGGACTGCACTTCAGGGTGTTTGAGCAACGTGCTGCTAGCGCTGTAGGACACCCACAGGTTAGTTTGTGGCGCATGCATCCATGGTTGAACGAAGGCAGCAATGACACGGACAACGACACCGGCAATGACACAGGACTCTTGCATTTTTGATCTGAGCGCGGCTTCCTAAGGCACGACAACCCGTAGCCGAAGAAGCAGCCGCGACCACAACTTCCCTTTGATTGTCACGGCTGTCCGGCTGTCCCGGCGACCAACTGCGAGAAGCTTTTTGTAGACTCTACTTAGACGACCATGGTGGCTGATGTGATATATATATATATATATACACATACATATAGATCGTCACGCCAGACCATGCGATACTCTGCTGGAATCTGATCTTGCATGCATGTCGTGCATTCATAATGGTATCCGTACGGCACCGCATGGGAGGAGAGGAAGACAATGACGACTTCATCGGCTCACCGGACTTTGCCTGAGAGAGGAGAACCACTGTTCAGCGTTACGCAAATGCGGTTCTTTGAAGAGGTTGTTGCTTTTCTTCCTGTTATGGTCCTATCAATGACAACAAGAGCGGTGACGGAGAAGCTGAGAAGAGGCGGAGCTGTAACAGCAACAGTGTACGATGCAGCAGAATATATCATGTAGCCCTTGGTGTAGAAGAATGTCCCAGCGAACATCACAAGACGAAGCGCATGATGTCTCACAAGCGTACTAGGTGGCACATGCGTCGACAGCACATCACGGTAATGCTATCCTTCATACAAAGCAACGCATTGTAGAAAAGATATCAAGTTGGGTGGCATGCAACGTGACATTGTATTTGGTGCCCGCGCACGTGCTGAACAATATCATTCATTTGGCATATGCCATGGTGCAGAATTAGCATGTGATGACCACTGCGAAAACCACGAAACATGTACGCATGCATAATAATGTATGCCTACACGCATGTCTTCGGTCTGGAGCTAAGAACGTACAAATCAAGGGTGATCAAGATCATACGTTGCACATGCATGTGAAGCATGGGTCGCTGCAACAGGCCACTTACGGTGCAACGTTCAGCACATTACGTACTGATGTCTACAGGACATCGCACTGTACAAGTAGCATGCCGTGCAGCGGCGTAATTAGATCCAACATTGGGTACGCGATAATCGCTTTCCGCTTCGTTAGCATGTCTCCTTTAGTCCAGAGCTGAAGATGGAGTCGCCGGTGCATGAGCTGGAGTAGAATAGACATCGTGCCAACTGGGCCATCTCGCGAAGCCCCGAACGAGAAAGCGCAAGTTCCTGCAGCAATAAGGCTTTCTTTGGCATCATTGCTGGAAGCAGCTGCGGCACCCTCGGCAAGTAGTCGGCTGTTTCTTCAACTGCCTTCCAGCTTGATTCGTGGTGGCATATTTTCCCCATGGGACTCGCTCCAGCATGCCTCATTGTGTACCGGAGAGTAGACCAGTATATACCCTGCGACCTTCCGGATGAAGATTCCAGGCTGTTGTTGCTGCGTGGTTTGCTGCTGGCTGCGCCGTCGCTACGTCACAGATGTCTATGCGGTGCGCCCATCCACCGCCAATAAACATGAGCTTGTCTAGCCAGTAGACCTAAATCAGCTTCTGATCACCAACTGCAACAAGCCCGCACCACTTGCATGGCTGGCGGAAGTTGTAGTATTCACAGGCCTCCATAGACTCCGGAGAGTGTTGGAACAATCCGCGTGCATGTAGCTTCAGGGAAGCTTCATCTCAGACACGTTCAGATAGTAGTACTGCGAGCTCATTCCATGTATCGGCGGCATCAGTCGGCATGTGTAAGGTTGCACAGCGGAGTCTGATAGAGCGGCGTGGCAGGATTGGGAAGAAAGCGAGGAGGAAGGCTTCGAAGAAGATCCTGTGATTGATGTGATCTCAGAGAAGTAGCCACAGAAGGCTTCTGTGGCCGTCTGAGACATGGTGTCTGCTCGGGGTCTCTTTGTAGGCGATGTAGTCTTAGAAGCCTTGCGGGCTTGTGGTATGGTTTCATGAGTTTCATGTTAACTATTTCATCCCGCAAGTCGTAATGCCGTTCAAGGCTATCAAATGTAGAGGAATTTCAACATGCCGACGCAGCTTGCGCATGTTCTGCGAAGCAGACCAAGGCGTATTAGCGTAGTAGGTAGGGTTGGGGACAAGACAGCGTGGACCTGGAGAATTATTTGAAGCCAATTTTTGCCCTTGTTCTGCTGGGGGCTAAACGAGGAGCGTCGTGTCCCCTGTGTCTCACAAGCCTAAAGAGCGATCTCAGACGCACGTGGACAGTCAGATGGGAGTGCGCTCTCGTCCAATTGCAACACAACTTCAAGTTTGATGGTGAACAGCCCATGCATCATACAGTGAACGAGTAGTGGCTGATGTATGAATCATGGAGTCGGGTCTCAGCCTCGGGCTTCTGTTGCCACGCCCCGGCTTTCTGTGTAGAAGCCTGAACAAAATCATAATGCCAGAGATTACTAGAGCTGCTAGAGCAGAGCCGACCCAAAAGGGAACACTCCCACCACAACTGCATCAGTAGTTTGGTGTCGTGACGCTCCAAGGACAAGTCGCGGTGGCAACCCTCGGAGCTCATGACAAGTCGTGCCAAAGGCACCACGACATGTTGGAATTCAGAAGTCGTGCGATCTCTCCTGCACAACAGCCAGCATGGCGCCCGCAAATTTCCGATTCAGAGCTAAAGGTGCTGGTGATCTGCAGCCGCGCCTGCATATGGGCCGCTGCAAAGCATCAAGGCGAAGTCGTCGATGCGATGGTGGGATCCAAAGAGCTGCAGCTGCCAAGCTGCGTGCACGGCCTAACATGGCAGAAAGGAAGGCACGGATTTCATCCCCTGGACGATGCCCACTACTCAGTAGTTCTTGCGCAGTCGTTGCCGCACCTTTCACCGAATTCGCGTATCCGTCTAGCCAGATATCCAGGCTGCGCGAGCAAAGAATGACTCAGCTTCTTAAAGGCAGCCTGCAGTAACGGTTTATAACACAGTGGAGGCCTTGTTTAAAGGGTGTTTGTTTTGTTTTCTATTTTATGTTTTTGTGGTTTTCCATGCTTTGCTGCTGTTTTGCCGTTCTATCTGCTGTGATTTGCTTGCTAGTTTCTGCTTGTTTGTGCTTTTCCTTTTCTGCTTCTCTGCTTTTCCGCTTCGCTGCTTCCCTTCTTTGCTTTTCCGTTCCTCGGCTCTTTCTGCCTTCTGCCTGTGTTTGCTTCGCGTTTTCTGCTTGTTCTTGCTTCTGCTTTTGCTTTTCCGCTTTCTGCTTTTGTGCTTCGCTCTTGTGCCCCTCCACTTTTCTGCTTGTCGGCTTCACCTTGTCTTTCTCCACCCGCATCCTTCAGGTCTCGTCCTGCTCCGCTTTTCTCCTGTCCGCCCTTCTGGTTGTGTTCTGCTCCGAAACACTACATGGGTTCACGAGGCAGTGTGTTCAAGATATATGATGAATTCGAATCGCCAGATGAGGGCGAGGATTAACATATATGATGAGACGAACCGGAATCGCCAAATGAGGGAGCGTGTTGAAGATATGTGATGAACGGGAATGGCCCAATGAGGGGGCATGTTTAAGGTGTCAGTTCTGTGAGCGAAATTGGTTTTGCCTCCAGTTCATGTTCTGCCAGCAGTGCAACGCATGAGCTTGCATGTTCCGCGGCTTATCTCTCGAGGTGCACCTTCGGCCGTTGCTTAGCTTAGGCTACGAGCAATAGCGTGTTCGCAAAGAACAGAAGTTGCCTAAGAAGGCCTTTTGAGAGAGAGGCGGTGGACACCTCTACTTCAGCTTCCGTGACGGACCAGCTGCTGAAAAAGATCGTCTTGCGCAGAGGGACTCTGCATTGCGTGCTAACAGATTTGAGCAGTGAAGCTACCCAGTCACCGATACTGGTAGCGGAGCTCGATCTGTAAGGGAAGAGCTCGAGGACACCGGCAGGAGAACCTACGGTGACCTCAACACGTTCCGCGTGCTGGGTGGCTTTGCCTATCTGCTGGACCGTGAGAAGGCGGGTGAAAATCCCCGACAGGAAGTTCGTGAGCCTCGTGCCCTGCTCCCACGGCATTCGCCAGCGCTATGACATCGGATACCAAGCCAGAGCAGTATCTTCGCTGCTCCTGGAATGGGGAGGCCAGTGGATGGAACGACTTTACCAGGAGAGTCAGACTGGCCTTCGAGCAGACGCCTCGAAAACGACGACATTTGTTGGGGCCGCAGATTGTCGGACAGCTGACAGATAGGGCATGGTCGATCACGGGCAACATCGATCATAAACAGCTGTGCCGACGAAACGGCGTGGTCTACTTGCTCCAGTACCTCAAGGAGGCCCTTGGACGGCTTCCTGTGCCCGACATTGGAGTCAGGCTCGAAGCTTTGATCTTGAGGATGAAGCGGCAGCCGAATCAATCGATGGCGACCTGGGCTGCACATTTACGACAGCAGTATCGCCACCTCCAGGTTGCCTTGAGCCGTGTCAGGACCCAAGAACAGATGGACTCAGGAGGAGTGAAACTTCCGTCTCGAGGCACCTCCTCCACGGGAGCTTCGCCTCACAGGCGAGCCAGTGACCATACCGTTGAGGAGCCCCAAGCCGAGCAAGAGGCCGAGACGCCTGATGAAGAGACGGCTACTGTGGGCCCCGAGGACCTGGAAGAGGAGCTGGAGGCCGCTGGGGATACCCCATCGGGCTCACCACGACGACGCCGTGGAAGGAAAGACTCCGGCAGCGACGACTCAGTCAAGGCTCTAGAAGACCTCAGCCTATGGGATGCCCATGAGGAGAAGCTGCCGGAGGTCCTACCGTCGGAAGTGCTTGGATGGCTTCTGCTGAGGAGAGCCAACTTGGGGACCCAGGCTCGACTATCTGTCCAAGCCGCTGCTGGGAATAGTCTTCGGCTCGAGGACATCGAAAAGGCGTTGCGTGGGATGGAAGATGAGCTGTTGGGACAAGAACAAGTGGGGCGAGGCCACCAGAAGGGGGAGTCTCGACGACGGACCTTCTGGGTCGAAGAGGCTGGCGAGTGGTCTTTGGTCCTGGACAACGCGGAGTTGGAAGAATCCGTGGATGCAGGTGAGACCGTCTATGTTGGGAATCGCTTGCCTCCTCAGGTCTACGCGCACGCCCCGGCAATCCTCGAGGATGGTGTCTTATCGGAGGGCACTTGGTGGAACCAAGGAGATTACGAACCTTACGCCGGATGGCCTGAGGACGCTGCGTGGTGGAACTGGGAGGATCCTGAAGATCTTCTCACGCCTGAGGAGCACAAGGAGGTTGACGAGGCCTACGCGATCGCGGAGGCCAAGGTCAGGAACTTTGTCCAGGCCCGGCAAGCTGTGAAAGCTAGGAATTTGTCCCGCGGCTTCTACCCGTTCGCTCCTCAAGGTAAGTCGGTTCCCAAGGGCAAGCATGGCAAGGGAAAACACCGATTCCCCAAGGGAAGATCTTCGGCTGCCTCCTCTTCGGCTTCTTCGGCACCCGTGATGGCTGCAGGAGATGACAATGGATTCCTGGGAGCTGCAGTAGGCCAACCGGGCTACTCAGGCTGCTTTATCTGTGGTTCTAAGGACCATGACTTCCGTACGTGTCCGAAGCGACAGGGGAAAGGCAAGGGGCCACGCCCCGGCGGAGTTCATTTCATGGAGGCGTCCGTGTTCACGGTGACGGCTGAGCCTCTGGATGATGACCCGGGGGAGGTCCCGACTTTCATGAGCCAGGACGAGCGTGAGGGCTTGGAACTCACTGGGTTTGCTGTGTTGGACACTGGGGCGACAGAGACGGTAGGTTCCCTTCCCGCCGTAGAGCAGCTCATGAAAGCACGGCACCAACACTTAGGAGTTGCAGAACAAGTTCAGGTGGTGGATCAGCCTCCCAAACGGTTTAAGTTCGGCAATGGAGAGTATGCCTATTCCGCTTCGTATATCCTCCTTCCCCAACAGCTTGGAGACCATGAAATTCAGTTAGGAATATTCACCCTTGACGTCACCGGCGTTCCACTGTTAGTCGGCATACGCACTCTTCGCAGACTGGGGGCTGTCTTGGACCTCTCGAAGTTCGTAATCGTCTTCACATCAGTCAACATGCATAGGGCTATTCCTCTAAGACGATCACCCAGTGGCCACGCGCTCCTTGATCTTCGCGGTGACTGGCTGTCCGGAGGATGCCTGGTTGCCGATCTTGGCAAGGACTTGAGCTGCAGTCCGCCCTTGGAAGAAAACTTCTTGGAGTCTGCGTACATGTTGAGTGATGAGCAGCAAGTAGCTGAGGGACATGTGCGCTGCAGTGCGAATCGCGTCGGTGACCCTGCATCCGAGTGCCTACCTGTTGAATCCTGTGATTCGGTACCCGTCGGGCAGCACGGTGGCTCTAGCCACTCCAATTCGATGAGATCGCTAGTGACCTTGGCGACCCTCGTTTCCCTCCATGGCGTCCAAGGCGGCCACGAGCTCGACTTCGGCGGCGAGCTCCAAGGGAAAGGGCAAGGCCAAGCCCAAGGTGGAAATGTCTCCGTTGGACTACGACAGACAGGAGGGCGTGGATCCTCGGGACCCAAGGAGTTTGTCGTGGCAATCACACTCCCAAGACTCGAGCAAACCAGTATGCTCAGTGGACGTTGTGCACCAAGTGCCAAATTCGGCTGAGTTATGTGCCACGGATGGGATGTCACGCACAGCACCGCCAAGCCGGCCCGCTGTCACAGGACGCCAAGGAGATGATCAAGAATGCGGATCCGGAGACCGAGTTCTACCCCACCAACAAGGAGATCAGCTTGACGGCCGCCGAGAACTCTGCACTACGACAACTGGAACGAGTGCGTCGACTTCGCCGTGGTCCCGAGAAGGTGAACGACCAGCGCGAGATCAAGAAGGAACCGAGCGATCCGGCCCAAGCCAAGGCGAAAGCGAAGGCTCAGGAGAGCGCGACGGTGAACGTGGAGGAGTCCGATCCCGAGGAGTCTCCTGTTTCCCCAGGGACAATCGTGATTCCCCAGACGGCCGAACCGGAGGAGATGCCGCCACACCCGGGGAGAAAATCCTCACGGCCGAACGAAACGATAGCCGAACAGCTGGAGTACCAAAACCGATCCTGAACAACCTGGGGGTCGAGTCCGTTCTCGAGGACCATGTTTACGAGAGCCGAACAGCTGGAGTACCAGAACCGATCCTGAACAACCTGGGGGCCTGTTATAGAGTTCAGATAGAGAACTACCACCAAGTCGAGAGTCTGTGTCGAAGGTACATCGAGATGGCCAAGTTCGACATGAATGCGCTTGAAGAGGTGGTCATGCTAGTCGAGGGCCATCAGACCGGGTCGTTGCGACAGGCCTGGGACACAGCACGGAAGGGGTCGTTCTCTCTCACCTTCGGGCTCTATGCACATGGCAATCAGCTTGGAGTGACTCGGGTTACACATGAATATCCCACGCTGTGCGAGTACGTCAACCGATGTGTTTCGGCATGGTTCGGCCGGGATGAGTTTTCATGGACGTCCGTCAGTATATTACTCAACTGCAAGAGTCAGCTGCACCGAGATAACCACAACCATGCCGCCTCGCTGAATGCAACATGTTCGGTGGGGACTTTTCAAAATGGAGAGTTGTGGATTCAAGCGACTGAAGGTGAGGACACTTGCCCAGGGCCGTTGCGTTGGCGGAAGCTTCCTAGTGGAACTCAGGCACCTGGCTATATCGTGAACACCTACAAGAAGCCGGTCGCCTTCAACCCCAAGGTTTTCCACGGGGCTATGCCATGGACTGGAGTCCGAGGATCAGTGAATGCATACACGGCGCGATCAGTTACGTCGATTGACCCTGAGATCCGACGTCAGCTGCGGCGTGTTGGTTTCCGGCTGCCCCGAAAGGAGAAGGTTCCCACGGCCATGATCGCGGAGGACCTGGATTCTGAGGAAGATCAAGGGCCAAGTGACCCTGACGGCGTCGAGGAGATCCTCACTGCTGAGGACAAGGTGGCGATCATGCAACCGTTGAAGGAGGCCAACGAAGCCCTGGATGAGATCTTCAGCGCCTATCCATCGCCACCAGAAGTTCAGCTGGTGCAAGTATGTGAACCGTGGATGGAACCCGACCGGTTGGCACAGGAGCTTCTGGACCATGGAATTACCTCCATGAAGTTGAGCTACGATCAAGGTTGTGACCTCACCAACCACGAGGGCTATGTGACCGCACGACATCAACTACGGCAGAATCGCAAGCTCTGGCTGTGGTGTCATATTCCGCGTGGACCCCCTATCCTGTTCCCTCCAGAAGATGATTTTCGAGCCAGTGTCAAGGCCCGCAAGTACTTGAAGGTGATACGACATCTACTACTCCTGTCTCGAGATCAATTGCAAGGCGGAGGGCAGGTGGTTTGGGTAATCCAGCCGGAGAGTCAGGTCTTGACCATCAGTGAGGTCCGTCGCTTTTGGAAGCAATACGGACACGGAGGCCGACCATTGGACCTCGGTGTTTGTCGGGTGGCCTCGACGTCTGCCAACCTTATGAACTTCCTCGATCCCAACAATCACGACATTGGCCAGATTTGGAAGCGACTTTGCCAAGGACTACAACCACGTGATGAACCAGAGATTGTTTGGAAGGAGGAGGCCCATGTCATGGCGGTTGACCTCACACCCCTGAATACCTTGACTTCTCAAGAGCTGGAAAAGTTGATGTCAGTGGCGCATCAACTCCATAGGAAGTTTGGCCATCCCTCCAACCGCTTGCTAATCAAGAACCTGAAGGCGAGGAATGCTGATGCCAAGGTCATTGCCGCAGTCAGCCTGCTGAAGTGTGATGAATGTCAAGAAGGAAAAATCAAGCTGCCAACTCCAGCGGTGAACCTGGAAAGGACCGACAAACTTTGGTCATGCTTGCAAGTGGATGGTTTCTCTATGAGGCTGTCCAATCAAATCCACCACTTCGTGCTAATGGTGGACGAGGCTAGTGGATATGCTGTGGTCCGGGAAGCTTTTCGACATCCGGAAGATGAACATCAGAATCTGTCCGGCGCCCAGATGGTGGAAATACTGAGGGAAGCGTGGTTTTCCTACTTTGGCTACCCCGAGCAGTTGAAGATGGATCTTGAAGGAGCCCATCGAAGCACTGTGTTGTCCGAGGAGTGCTTGAGCCATGGCATCGAGATTGTTGCAGCCCCGGCGGAACACCATCAGACCATCTCTGAAGTTGAGAGGACGATAGGACATGTCAGGCAAAAGGTGGAAGTGTTCCTACGAGAGCAAACTATCGACCCCAAGGTGGCAGCTTTGACTATGGTTATGACGCACAACTCCTTGGCACGAGTGCATGGTTTCTCTCCACTCCAATGGACGATGGGTCGTGATTGGAGTCCCGGCCAACGGCTACTTGAATCACCTCTTGATGAACAGGCCGTCCCTCGCACCAATCCTTTTGGAGCGACTCTTGAAGTCAGGTTGGCCGCCGAAAAGGCGTTCTTGGATCACCGCGCCCATGATGTCGCATCAAGGGCCAAGAATGCCAAGACTCGGGGAAGTGTGCAGTTTCTACCTGGAGATTTGATCTATTTTCGGCGACTCCAACGCCCGGCAGACCTCCCGGCTAACAATGTAGTGGATCGACCTCGTCTTCGCATTGGTCGATGGTATGGCCCGGGGAGAGTGTTGGCATGTGAAACCAAGGTGGATGGAGCATCGAGACGGCCATCTTTGATTGTTTGGGCCATCGCAGGGGGAAGGCTGAAGCGTTTCCATGCTTCTCAGCTGCGACACGCTTCCGAAGCTGAACGTTTGGTTGCGGAAGCGACTTCAGCGGTGTCTATGCCCTGGACTATGACTTCTCTGAGTAAGCTTATGTCCAAGGGGACCTATGATGATGAAGCCAGACCTCGAAGGAAGCATTGGCCCAAAACTCGAGATGAGAAAAGGAAGAGGCGCATGACGAACCTTCCGAAGGCAACAGCGACTTCCCCAACGACGCAACCGCCATCTCATCCTATGAATTCAGGTGACTCTGAAGAAGAGATGATTCCCGATCGGGAGATGAGGAAACGCGGACCACCCACGGAGACAGGCGATCAAGAAGAACCAGGTGATGTCGACCTGGATATTGATCGTCTACTACATGACGTTGAGTACCTGCCTGCTCCAGTGGATCCTGGATTTCAAACCCAGCATCGTAGCCACGAGTACGATGAAAGACCGTGGCATGTGAGAGGACAGAATCCGATAGGTTTCTTGAGCGATGCTGAGCTCGAACAAGGGATCTTCTCGGCCATTGTGGACGTACCAGATGATGAGCGTGGCTGGAAGCGCATGCTCAAGGACCCGGGGAAGTTCATGGCTAAGTCTGTGCAGAAGGGAGTTGAAGTGGCGTGGAACCGTTTGAATGAGGCCCAGAAGGCGGCGATGAATGAGGCCAAGAAGGTCGAGCTGGACTCTTGGATATCCAAGCAAGTGGTCCGTGCCGCGTGTCCTTCGATAACTCCTGACCAAGCACTGAAGATGCGAAGGGTGTACACGTTCAAGTCGGCCGGAGAAGACCAACCCGGACGAATGAAGGCAAAAGCAAGGATTGTGATCCTTGGATACAGCGATCCCACGCTGTTGGAACAGGACACAACATCTCCCTCTCTTTCTCGATTGTCGAAGATGCTTTTGCTGAACGCGGCCACCAGCTACAAATGGAAGATCCTGAGTGGGGACGTCAAGACAGCCTTTCTGCAGGCGAAGAATCCGGCTCGTCTGCATGCGCTGTATGGTCAGCCGGTCCCTGAACTGGCTGAAAGAATGCAGCTACCTCCCCAACGCATGGTAGAGTTGCTTGGTTCGGCGTACGGACTAACTTCTGCTCCTCGGGAGTGGTTTGTAGACTTGTCCGGGACCCTTCGCCGATGCGGAGCCCAACGATGCCATACGGATCCTTGCTTATGGCGCATCTTTGCCGATGACGGCCAGACCCTGGTCGGCATCATCGGGATCTTTGTCGACGACCTGCTGTTCGCTGGGAATGAGGAGGCTCCTGAGTATACCCGTTTGCTCCAGGAGCTCCACAGCCACTATGAGTGGAGTCCGTGGGAGGCCGACTCCTTTGTGCATTGCGGAATCCGCATCACTCAGGACGGGGATTGCTCTATCCGGCTGGACCACAGTGATTTTAGCAAGGAACTTGCCCAGATGCAACCCCGACCGAAGGGCGACGAGACGAAGTTGACCGATGCAGAGGTGTCGCAGGCAAGGGCAGTGCTGGGATCTGCCCAATGGCGAGCGACGCAGACGGCACCGCACCACTCGGCAAAACTCAGTATGCTGCAATCTACCTTGAGCACCCGAGATTTCTCTCTGATCGAACAGGTGAACAAGTTGGTTCGGGAGATCCATGCAGCCAGGCATGTCTCGATCAAGGTCCAGAACCTCGGCGGCAGCCCGGATGAGCTCTGCTTCATAGGCTTCAGCGATGCTGCATTGGCCAATAGACCAGGGGGAGCGTCTACCGGTGGATTCCTGCTGGGACTTATCCATCCTAGTGACCTGGCAAAGGGCGAGGGACGCATCAACTTAGTTAGCTGGAGATCTTCGAAGCTACAACGTGTTGCTCGTTCAAGCTTGGCAGCCGAAGCTCAAGCCCTGTCGGAGCTTGAACAAGAGGCCATGTTTGCACGCCTCACCTGGCACGAGCTCCTAGGCGGCACCGTGGATCCTGATGACCCCGTGAGCGGCGCCGCTAAGGTGAAGGCCACGCTGGTGATCGATGCGAAGGCCATGTACGATGTTCTGGAAAAGGGGGATATCGCTTCTTCGGCGTACTCCTTGAAGGACAAGTATACCGCCCTGGAGCTTCAGAGTCTTGCTCAGCGATTGACTCGCCTGAAGACGGTTGTGCAATGGTGCGACAGCGATCATCAGGCAGCTGACGGTATGACGAAGAGCCAAAAGCAGGACTCAGTGCGCAAGCTCGTGATGACTGGCACATGGAGGTTCCGTCTTGACGGAGCTTTTATCTCAGCTAAGAAGCGGAGAGCGATGCACCACGAGCCGTGAAACAACGGCAGACTCACGAACTTCCGGCAAGCCCTTTAGGGGTGTGTCAGTTCTGTGAGCGAAATTGGTTTTGCCTCCAGTTCATGTTCTGCCAGCAGTGCAACGCATGAGCTTGCATGTTCCGCGGCTTATCTCTCGAGGTGCACCTTCGGCCGTTGCTTAGCTTAGGCTACGAGCAATAGCGTGTTCGCAAAGAACAGAAGTTGCCTAAGAAGGCCTTTTGAGAGAGAGGCGGTGGACACCTCTACTTCAGCTTCCGTGACGGACCAGCTGCTGAAAAAGATCGTCTTGCGCAGAGGGACTCTGCATTGCGTGCTAACAGATTTGAGCAGTGAAGCTACCCAGTCACCGATATAAGGTACATGAAGAATTGGAACCGCCAAATGATGAGGTGTGTCTAGGATATAGGATGAACCAGAATCGCCAAATGAGGGGGCGTGTTGACGGTATATGATGAACCGGAATCGCCTAGTGACGGGAGGGGGGGGGGGTGGGGGTTTCAGATATATGATGAACCGGAATCGCGCAATGAGAGGGGGTGGATAAGATATATGATGGGCCGGAGTCGCCATCGCAAGCCCTCACGAGGTTTCTGCTAAACACCAATAAAAGAAGGGCCGTGTTTTCTGCTTGTCTGATTTTCAACTTTCTGCTTCTTTGCTTTTCGTGTTCCTGAATCGCCAAACGAGAGGGTGGGTTGAAGACTGTGATCATAAATTATAAGATGTGGGACCAGATTGGCACCATGCGCTGTATGTGACAGGATGCGAGGGATTAGGCTAAGTGTGAAGAACCGTGCGAATACCGTGAAGCTCGATTGTTTCGGGCAGGCGAAGGTGCACAAGGTCGCCCGAGAAGAAAGAAAATTCCTAAGCGGGCCGAAGGAAAACTAGATGGTGGAGTTGCCCCAGTGTGCTTTCTTGACTTGTGCGAAAGCACAATCCAGACGCGTCTGAGCCACAGCAAGTTGCCCGAAGACCTGACACCATCTGCTGCACAGTGACAGCTAGCTTTGTGACCGCTGGGTCTTGGAATGACTGGAGTGGAGTAAAAGAATTGTTTCTGTGAGAAACTTGTGAGAAACCTGTGAGAGGAGCCTGTGAGAATCCTGTGAGAAATGAGCTCAGGGTCTGTGAGAAACGATGTGACAAACTTGTTTTGGAAGGCCGCTAGCCGCTGAGTATTTGAGAGTGATATTTTTCCATGGTCTGAAGTTTAGGGGATTCCCAGCAGCCAGGCCTGGCGGCCGGACCCAGGTCCGGGCTGTGAGAAACCTGTGAGCGGGCTGTGAGAAACCTGTGAGAAACCTGTAAGCATCTGCGGTTTGGGCCCGGCCGGTGAATCCGTTCCCTCACAGCTTTCTCACAGGTTTCTCACAACGTTTCTCACAGACCCTGAGCACCCGGATTTCATTTCTCACGGGCTTCTCACAGAACCCGCTCACAAGAAAAATGATTTGATCATTCCCAATGATTCCACGCCATCGGCGGTCACAAAGCCAACTTGCTTGTGATTACCAGTATCAGTAGTTGGGTCGCAGGCTTGGCAGCTTAGGACTGTTGTCGTACTTGTCGCCATGTGTACCCAAACCCAGACTTGAGACGGCAGAGCTGCGCCTTTGTTTTGGGTTTTCGTGCCCTGCACATGCCCGAAGCAAGCAAGTGAGCGCATGCAAGAGCGGAAGAGAGCCAGAGAGGGAGCCGCTAACGGGGACTACATAAGGCCCTACGGGGCGAGAGTTGATGAGTTCGCCTGGTGTCGCCACTCCGATGCTGTCTGATGCAGACTCGGACGAAGGCGCGGGAAGGGGCCTTCAGCAAGCCTTGCTCTCTGCGCCCCGACCGACAGAAGGCAAAATTGCGAGAGAGAGAGAGAGAGAGAGAGGGGGAGAGAGAGAGAGAGACTGGCGGGAAGCTAAAGTTAAAGTTCAGGGGGGGTTGGGGTCCTTGTCAGGCACACACTACCAGCTATACCGAACAGGGGAAACAACCCCCACCTTTGAAGATCCCAAGGCCTCTTCCACTGCACAGACGGGAAGGGGGCGCTGTGGACTCATCCCCGATGGAAGCCAGGAAAGGAAGAGAGAGAGATATAGAGAACAGTGGCGAGCCAGAAGGACGTCGCAGGAAACACCGTGCGTACAACCAACAGAACGGGCAGCTCCCGCGGGGGCTTGCCCTCAAGCCTGGGGAAGGAAAGAGAACAGGGACTGCATGTGGCTCAAGCAGCATCTCGCCGCTGGCTCGAGGCATTCCTAAGTTTCACATGTGCCGACAATCGCAGGCAACAGCGGCACCATGCAGCACCTTTCCATTCCCACGTCAAGCCAGCATACCCTTGCGAAGCCAAAGACTGTAAACCTCACGACAACCGCTCGAAATGAACCCGAGGACTGCTTCGCCAAAATATCAGCCAGCGAGGACTGGACACCATAATTACATAGCTCACGTTCGCATTGTGTACGGGGCAGCTTGGCATTGCCTTGCCGACGGCCATGTTCCAGGCAGGGGCAACCTGTGCAAGTGTAGTTTGCTGCTGCCGGTTGCCATTGCGTTCTTTCGGGCTACCGCACCTGGATCTCAGAATCTGCTTTTTGGAGAAGATCCTCGCTTGCGATGAAATCAGTCGAGTCAGTTGAGCGTGAACACTCATGAGCAACTGCCGTTCGTAAAGTGTTCTACTGGTATCCTGCTAAGTGCACTATGATGTTGTATGAGCATCTGCACTATTCGCGATATGCTGTGCAGGCGCAGGGTGATTCGGAGAACCGGTCGCCAGCCAAGTTTTGTACCATCGAGGAAGAACTCGAACTGACTTACCGTGAAGCAAGGCAGGGGATTGTTGTTGTATTGTGTTAAATTCCTTGCGCAAGGCTGTTCGTCACCAAGATAGCGCCATTCAACACTCAGCAGGTGCGGCAATCCCCTCTTGCAGCCTCTTGCAGCTGAGCATCCTCAACGGTCTCGGTCATCGTTGAATCTGTTTCTGCACCACATCGTCACTGCGACTCATCACGCTGGCCGTGGCAATATTTGCAGGATGTTGCTCAGCACTTCCAGCAGTTCGGCGTCACAACAGATGCGTCCAGACGGCACATGGGCAAGAGTTTCCCCTGCCGATCCAGCCCGACCCGGTAGGACAAATGCTGCTAGCTTACACCATTCCTGCCCTCATGCAATGCAAGCACGTGGCGGGGGCCAATTGGCCTGCACTAACGAGGGCCGTTGGTGGCGAATTCGACTTTATTGCTCCAGTGGTTGGTTTGACTGCTATCTAACATGGCCCACGTTGCTGTGGACTGGTTCCAAGTTGTGTTCGCTGCCTTGCTTCGAGGTGTACTTGCCCTCGGTGCCCGGCCGGCCAGGGCACAAGGCCACGTCTAAGCCGTGCCCAGTGCGAGAAAGGAACTTCTCCTCGCGTTCCGCTGCCCTGCCAGGGCATCGCTTTTGTCTCCTTTCAGGATCCGACTGCAGTTCAGGCCGATACGCGGCTGGCTACCGGCTTAAAGCTCGGCTTGGTTTGAAGGTTCTGCACGAAGGTCAGGAACCAGACATGACGAGATTTGCGGTGGTTTGTCTTGGCACGGGGAAGGCTGTGCTCGCACGCGTCGCATGCATGAAATCAAAAGGGCACATCCCGAACAGCTGCAAATGCGCAGTGTGTAGTTCCAAGGCAAAATGTGCAGAATGGACTTGTCTTGGGGGTGAGCGAGCAGCTTTACGGTTCGTCATGGGCGGCATGCCGGCCACTGGTGGCCTTGGAGCATCGCATCTCCTGTTCGTCTCCTTTTCGTGGGCATGCTTGGTTGTTACATTCGCCTTCGATTGCTCTTCCTGTTCTGTGCGCACGTGACGACTCACCATTTCCGATGACTCCTGTCCTGCCTTGGGCCGTTTGCACTGCCTGCGCTGCCAGTTGGCGATGAGCAGCGGGCCGCATGTCATCAACGGCAACGAGGTTCCACTTCCGACCATGCGGTGGGGAAGTGGCACACTTTCCATGGTTGTCTGTGCATAGCTTGGGTTCAGATGTGGGTCATGTAGGCGAACTACTACCTTTTTGTGCTACACTGCTACACCATTTTCAATGCCTGAGGTTAGAAGTCTGTGCTAAGCTGGAGCCCCTCTAGTCACCTCTGGTCACCCTGCTTGCCAGCATCTGATCCCCAGCCGTCACATCGACACGAGACGAGGTGGTGGTTGACATCGCTGCTCCTCGCGCTGGAGGGAAGGGCGAGGCATTTCTGCTGCCAAGTCAAGTCTCATCTCATGTGAGCGCTCAGTGCCTTTCGGATGGTGTTCTGACTCCTGGATTCTGCCTTCCGCTGCAGGGGCACGCCTCGCATCAGCCCAGCCACAATCAGGCTTGCTGCATGAAAGGCAGAAGTCGCTAGTCGAGAAAACTGGCTCGACAGCGATCCGATGCAGGCTGGCGCGGCTGGCATTGCTGGCCTGGCCTCCTCCCAGGCCCTGAGTTGCACCGAACCCGAGGCTTTAGGAAGTTCTGGGCCGACGTAGGGTCTCACTTCGACTCTTAAGTCTTCAAGTACGCTTGCAGGCCAATAACGGCGACAGGCTCTTTGTTACCAAAGTGCCATCGACTCTGAATCGGGTGACTCAACTGCGAGCAGATGGTCGACCGATGTTGACCGGCTTTCTTGTCGTTGAAGCAAGTTTCTGCCCCGAAGTGGCAAGAGGTGAATCGAACCAATCATCTTCGCTTTACCTGCCGATATTCCGTGATGCCCCCCTGCAGCATCATCGTCAAGTAAGTGACTTCGAAGCCAGACATCATCCGCACAAAATGAGAAGATGTAAACACAGCGTTCCTCTCGACCCTGGATCTGCCTCATGCTCCGGCTGACCTTCGCAGCTATGAGATCGGCTGGGCTTCTTTGATGAGCTAAGCTCTCACGAGGGCGATTGACAGAATTGGCGCTGCCGCGACAACGAGATGGTGTTCCCGGGTCTTGGAGACCGACATCGCCTTGAACCTGATGT